CTGGCTCAGCGGCACTGACCCGCTAAGCTGACTGATTCAGCGGAAGAGCACCACTGTATGCTGTCAATGTAGGTATGCTGTCAGCGTAGGTATGCCGTCAGCGTAGGTATGCCGTCAGTGTATGTATACTGTCAGTGTAGGTATGCCGTCAGTGTAGGTATGCCGTCAGTGTAGGTATGCCGTCAGTGTAGGTATGCTGTCAGTGTAGGTATGCTGATGACCATTAGGTGTATGTAGCTCACTAGTCTCAATAGCCGCGCTTCAGACCCTCGCCAAACAAAGGCGCGTTTAAGACCAGCCTAAGCCACGCTATTGCGACTGAGCTTGGATTATTCAGAGGCTTCTATACATTAATATTCATAAGCCTGAATTTATCGCTTAATTTATTTCATGTATGCTAGTTAGTACGAGTATTTGAGCAACAAGCACATATAATACGTACTGGAGCCTGTGTTAGTAAGTCATCGTATTGCAGCCTGGTGATTCCTTCAAGAAAAAGTTATGCTCAAAAGCAGGGTAAGGATAATGTGCGCATTATAGAAAATTTTCGTGGTTTGCTGAAAGTCTTAAAGGCCATCATAATGTAAACTGCCGAAAATCAACACATAATTTCACATAGGTGCGAACAGTGTTCATGTATGCAATAATAACAATTATTGTAGCTGGTCAGCTATTGGCTGCGCTTAGAACGCTAGTTGAACAATTGGATGCAAACGTCATTCAAGATAAACAATATAAAGATTTTTCTCGGCAGTATCTGCGTGCTAATCGAGGGTGGGGGTTTCATATTTGACTATCATTTAGTGATTGTAAGTGAATTTAATTTGCCATACTTCTGTAATTGTTTATTTTTACTGCGTTTATCTATATGTAAAAATGTTCTATCATAAATGTGAACTCGGTCCATGAACTGAAGTAGATTGATGAACTGACACGATTCGGTCCTTCATTCCCTATTCTCTCAGTTTGTAAATATTATTCCTGCTCCTTAAATATTCCGTATATTGTTTAGGATCTTCAGCGTAGGGCAGGGCCTGCGGACAGAAGCATGAAAATAAATAATAATGTTGCATAGCTTAATTAATATTTAAATTATTGATGTAGTATAGTTTCATTAATTAATATTCCGCTAAAGCGTCCCATTGACGGATTAGTTTTGAGTCACATTTATGAGTAATTCTTTACCAGTGTTATTGTTGTGTTATTAATAGACTAACAAATAACAAACCAGCATTTTATTCAAAGCCATCGCAGTATTTTCCCCTAACATTATATTTTTTTCTCAAAGCCAAAAACTCTGACGCCAGCCTTTTGGTTGCACGATATTATGAACTAATGTTATGAATTTAATAATGATTACATAAAAATATTATGAATAATATTAATAAATTTGCGATTCTGTAGAGCTATATTTATGACGCCAATAACTATTGATAACTCTGCTCAAAAGTTGAACAGAATTAATCACGGGGAAAATTATCAGAGAAACTGAGTGGGAGGCGAGGTAATTTTCTATAAAATTGGTCATTAAAATTTATTGTAAACTTTCATTTACGAATTAGAATTCCCTAGAATTTCTCCTCTCCGCCATCTGACGCGTAGGCCTCTTTAATTTAAAAAAAATCATTCCCATTCCCAGGAAAGCATTTTTTGATAAAATTCATCCGCTGCCCTTCAAATTTTTCAGAGGTTTTAATTCTGGCAATTTGCTTTATGCCTCTGTTGGTTATTAAGCAAACGGCTGCTCCTCTGGACCATACCTCGGACAGGTGTTCGATGTTATTGTATATCTGCTTTCGATAGTTAAGAAGAAAGTGTAATATATGCTTGGATGATATTCTTATTTATGTTTTGGATATTAAAAAACTGAAAAAGATGTTGAAAAATTTTCTATTTTTCTCTTCTCAATTAAAATAGAAATGAAATAGATGTTTGAAAGAGTTTTCTATTTTTGTCTTTTTAATTAAAATAGAAATGAAACAGATGTTTGAAAGAGTTTTCTTTTTTTGTCTTTTTAATTAAAATAGAAATGAAACATGTTAAAAAGAGTTTTCTATTTTTGTATTTTTAATTAAAATAGAAATGAAATAGATGTTGAAAAGAGTTTTCTATTTTTGTCTTTTTAATTAAAATTGAAATGAAACAGATGTTGAAAAGAGTTTTCTATTTATGTCTTTTTAATTAAAATAGAAATGAAACAGATGTTGAAAAGAATTTTCTATTTTTGTCTTTTTAATTAAAATTGAAATGAAACAGATGTTGAAAAGAGTTTTCTATTTTCGTCTTTTCAATTAAAATCGAAATGAAACAGATGTTGAGAAGAGTGTTCTATTTTTGTCTTTTTAATTAAAATAGAAAGGAAACAGATGCTGGAAAGAGTTTTCTATTTACGTCTTTAATTTTAATTAAAATAGAAATGGAACGGATGTTGGAAAAGTGATATCTCTTGGAATGCTCTTAGTGTTCATCACCCGGAAATCTGGAATCGATCATCAGTTGAAAATCGTCAATAATTTCCATATGAAATTTTGATGTTCAAATTCACTGTTATTAATTTTATCCCTTCTAAGTTCTACATATCGGACGTCGAATCAACGTCCAAGAAAACTTTATTCTATTGAATATGCGCTGCATTTTCATTATCCTTATTAATTTTTCCTGTGAGATTATTATGTTTAATCCCACTTTTAAACCTACGTCCGAGATTTAAATTGAATTCCAGAGCCCTTCAATTGAGCTCTCCAAGCCGTTCTTATGCAGGGTTATTCACTGTTTTCTATAAATAAATAATCACTGCGTTTTAAAAAAATATCTAGGCTTGCTCACTGCTTGAGAATAGCTCCCATATTCAGCTCATAATTTTAGACTTCACCTTCGTCAAGTTCAGGATAAAGGATTATCTGTCGGATAATTTCCAATCATGTTAAAATTATCTCCCAAATGGAAAAATATATTTATATATAGAAATATAATTAAAAACACTGAAACTCGTCAACTCTGTTGATTTATCAATCATATTTAGGCGTTAATTTTTGCTAGATTTATACTAAAGCTTCGAATCTATGTGCTATGTATCCCAGTGGGTATCTTCAGTGCTATTGAATTTTGATTTTTTCATTGATGAAATGCGTTTAAAATCCAAAGTGGCTGATAAATGCACGATTTTAAACCCAGGGGCAAAAAACTCTAATACACAAGTCAACTTTTACAGAGGTAATTAAACCAAACTTCCATTCGGAGGGTAATAAAATAAGGTTAGTAGTGATTACTTTATTCGCATCGCTTCAAAAAATCTTGGTCTATTGCGTGTAAACCACGAGTCAATTTAAAGCTCGAGAAGTCGCTTTCACTGTCATTTATCCAGCTCAGGTAGAGCAGAAAATACGACCTCGTCCCTTGCCTCGGTTTCGTCAATACGCTGCGGTACTCGCCTGTATGTCCAAGGCTGCCACCGGGTGTACGTCGATGGTTTTTTTTTCAATTTTACGATCTTGGAAGATTTCCTGGCCCATTCAATGGAATGGCGACGACTTTCGTAGAGCAATTCCCTAGGTCTTTTATGTTTAGGAATATATGGCATTTTTGAACTTTGTATTGAAATGGCGTTGGCGCCTATGAATAACTCTGTCTCGAGCCATTTAAATGTGAGCATTTAACGCCTTATTAACACATTAATTTGAAAATCGATGTTCATAGAATTTATAAGAATTCTAAAAATTATTTTTTTCACATAAATTTACACTGTCACATTTAGTTGGGACTCCTTTTTAATTTTATCAAGGCTGAAATGCTTCCTGCCCGTTGCAAATTTCCAGTTCGCTTTCCAGTCCGTTGTACTGTGTTGCCATGTCGTAGCAAAAGCTAAGCTCTAGAATTGTGTATGTATTATGACGTAATGAACTCTTATTCTTTTAAGATGTAACAAGATAAGTTTTGTACTATTTGTCTTATTCGATTTGTTTATATTTAAACAAAAAAAAACTGCTATTTTATCGACCAACGTTTGAGTATTTGTACATTAAAATATGATCCATTCACTTTTCTTATTGTATGAATGCTATGAATGATGAATGCTATTTACTTTACTATGAATGATGACGAAGCTTGCTTGATCACGAACAACATGGTACACTAGTTGTCCTCTAAAGTCTCACTTTGTTTTCTAAGTCTCACTTTAATATTGTTGTCTAACAACTTCATTCATCAGTTTCGTTTCCGTTCGGAATTTTTTTCTTGAAACGTAAAATATATCTTGTCAATCGATGATTCGTACTGTCAACGACGCACTTAGGTTAAAATTCTTACGGTCTTTACGCACAGCTCGTTGGTTATCTGCAACGTCGATGAATCTTTTTTTTTGTAGCCAGCATACGAATGAAAATAAATGCATTGCATTTTATTTATTTTTTATTCTGAAAACTACAAAGGAAAATTTATGAATGTATTCTCAATCACGAACATGACTCCCCCCGCTTGCTCTGAAACGGACTCTGAGATGCTAGGTATATTTTTTGGAGAACGTATATTTTAGGGAAAACCAATAATGGATTTTCTATCGAATTTTGATATGTTTTCGCCATGGGTCTCCATTACCTCGAGTTTGAAATCAATTTGGGACAAAAAAATCAGGTTTTTGCTATATATAGATTACGGTTTGTGGAATATTGTTATGTGTACATACGCGTAAATTTGAACAAATTAATTAGGCAATATTACGTGCATTCTAAGAAAATTAAAGAAATTTTTATGCCATAATTTCCATGCAGAAGAAGCGCATAGATATGTTAAAGTCCCAATAAAATTGGATGAGTACACATGATGTATTTTACCATAAAATCATTGAAAACATTGTTTTACAAACGAAATTACTTAAACGTTGAAATAGTTATTTACTTTATGTTCTATGCAAGCTATATCAATTTTATTTCCTTGTTGACTCTATTTGAAGTAAATTTTTAAATTTAATGAATAGTTTTAATAAATTTTTTCATTCATTTCAGGTACGTGAGTTCGTCTCTAGGGCTTCTGACTCATCCCAGACGGTGAGTAAAACACCGTAAGCCAATTCCTCAAAATTTAAAATCCCTCGAAATTCATCGGCAAATTTGTCGCATCCCAAACTGATTTTCGAATCCCATGGCAATCGCTTTCCGATTTAAAATATTTCTCTCATTAACCGATATTTTTCATCGGATGAGTCCTGCCTGCTCCTCTATAACACAGTCTGGTTTGAGTGGCCGTTGTTTTCTGATAATTCCAATTTATTGTTTGTATCACTTGAAAACTATTTATCGGTAATATATTTGTAAATAAATTCGTAGATAATACTTTCATCACACGATTTAACTTGTTCAGTGTTTTGATACCGAAGTCTAGCATAATTAGATTAATTTTTGGAAAAAAATAGTGGAAAATTGGAGGAGAGAGTTTTTAATCAGTAGGTGGTACACGATTACGATTCGTATTGAAAAGACATTCCTATTTGTGAAATTAGTACACGAATGCTTATTTAAATTTGTGTATAGTTTCCAACTCCATGTTGTAAATAATTATGATTAATTTCTAAACGAAACATGAATTTTTCCCTAGTTGTTGCTTTCAGCTCGATGTATGAATAAAATTATTTAAATTTAGTAAATAAAAATTACGTTCTGCATTTTAGAAATTCTTCATTATGATGAAATTCATTTTCTAGAATAATACATATTACATAAACCATGAGCTCTTTCCATGAACGCCACTTTATAATTTATTAAATTATTTAAAAATGTTCTGAGAGTGATTCATATGATCTCATTTACTTAAATTTAACTAAATCAAGTCAATTAACAATGTTCACGGATTCATGTGGGTTCTGTTACATCTTCAGGTATTGTCATCGGATGTTTGAAGTATACATTATAATTTTGTTCATAGCCATTGTCTAGTATGAATTCCTTATATGGGTCGTCTGTGTGCTCCCTGTAGGATATTTTGGACACCAGAGGCTTCCTTGCGTAGTAGGACTTCTCAGCTTCTAGGATCTCGGCGACTGTCGGTCTGAACACGCTCGTCACGTTCTCGTTGTGTACACTGTAAATTTTGGGGGAAAAGTGAGAATTTAGAAGGAAAGAAAATTTTTTCCTGATGTGTTGCGATTAGTGTATTTACTTGGTATATTATCATTTTTATTTATTAGTATTATAATAATAAAAAAATAATGATAATAATAGGGTATTACCTTATTATTTATGTAGTGTAAATAATATTAATATTAGTGTATTTATTTGGTGTATTATTAGCTTTTTCTGTTCTTGGTTAGTTGGTGTTTAAAAAAAATGATGTAAATTATGACCAGGAACGAATTAATCATCACGAATTTGGTACGCACAAAGATTGTTTTTTTAACGAAATTTAGGGTAAAAGTGCCGTAGTTAAGTTATTGAATGTGTAGCAAGGTTAAAAGCAGCGTGGAATACAAGGACATGCGAAAGAAATCTTTGGATCGTTCCCAAGATGCATTGATTTTCATTTCATGTGAAATCGCACTACTGCATTTTTGAGGTTTTTAATTAGTAATACACTTGCATTTGTTTTCCCTGCTTATTTACAATAAACTATTTTAACGGCGATTGCATGACAGCAGATTCACCGTCAGGTGCAAAAGCTTTAGTAATCGAAACGTAAATAATGTTTCACTGGTTATTTTAATACGATTTCAATTGCTACTCTGATTATCACGTCACTACGTATGAATTACCATGAAAATTCCTATTAAATCGTTGATAAAGAGTTTAATTTTGATATCCGACCAGAAGGGGGAGTTGGGGCAGCCCACCAGGCAGGGGGGGTACTGACCAGAAGGGGGAGTTGGGGCAGCCCACCAGGCAGGGGGGGTACTGACCAGAAGGGGGAGTTGGGGCAGCCCACCAGGTAGAGGGGGTACTGACCAGAAGGGGGAGTTGGGGCAGCCCACCAGGTAGAGGGGGCGGCCCCCCGGGTGGATGAGGTACATCATCGCCAGGTTCTCCTGATTTCCGTGATCGTTGCCGCCGAGACACTGAAGTGCAATAGAAAAGTGTAAGTCTTTTTTTTTTATACTATATTATTAAATATTATTATTCTTATTATTTAATATTAAATATTATGAAATTATATAAATTTATTTACTATTTATTATTTATTTTATTATTATTATTTATTTTTATTATTTATTTATCATTATATTATATTAGTAAATATTATATTAATATTAAAACCTACGCGTAAAATGTAAGTTATTGCAAATAAACATCGTTTGTGAAAAAACGATTTATGATGGGTAAATATCTTATTAATTGAATTTATTTTTTCGGTATGGCTCTTCGAAGGTTGAGCGAGGTATACGAATTCTTATATTTATTCTATATAAAGAGTGGCCTTATTCATAGCCACTCTTCGGAGCTATGAATCTCCATTTCATTGCCCGCTGTACCAACGTCCTGAGAACAAGAATATATTTAAGAGAGGCCCTAAATACCCATCATGAAGGACCCTAAATACCATCATGAAGGACCCTATAAATACCAATCATGAAGGACCCTAAATACCCATCATAAAGGACCCTAAATACCATCATGAAGGACCCTAAATACCATCATGAAGGACCCTAATTACCTCTCATGAAGAACCAATAATCCCATCATAAAGGACCCTAAATACCATCATGAAGGACCCTAAATACCAATCATAAAGGACCCTAAAAACCTATCAGAAAGGACTCTAGTTCCCATCATGCAGGACCCTAATAACCTATCATGTAGGACCCTAAATACCCATCATGAAGGACCCTAAATACCTGAAAGCAAAGCTTCTCACCTTCATAGTCACTTCGAAGGCTCTGTAAGGATCATCTTCCGAAGGAATGTCCAAAAACGCCACAAGCGAAGCGTTCGCCTGAACATGATCACGAAAAATATTGCGGGTAAAAATACATTCGTCTCGAAAAAACGATTATTTTTTGTTTACATTTTTAGCCTGTGTAATCAAGATTGCTGGCAAATAATTTATAAGTTGAAACGATACACTTTCTGCAAATCGCTCAACTAATTTGTTATAAAATTTGTACGTTTAACATATATGGGGAAAGATAATTGTTGTAGAAATAAATGAGGTAACTGTTTCCTGTCCTGAGAAACAAGCAGCCTATCTTTATATCTTTAATTGCTTCACTACAGCGGTTTTGCCGAAACTTTGCAAATGTACATATCTATATTTTTAGTTTAATAATAAAATGCATTTCTATTAAATAATTTGGTTCAGGCAACATAAATTCCGTAGATTATTGCTGAGCAGTTTACTTATAGGAAATAACCTAACTAGGGAAATGTATTTAAATTGTATCCAGACGTCACCCTGATTTTTGGCCAGAGGTCAATGAGTAATTTAACAATATGCTAATCAGCTCATTCTCAGTGATTTTCCTGTGATCCTTCACGCGACGATCCTTCACGCGATCCTTCCTCAGTGATCCTTCACGCGACGTACGTATCCTTCACGTGACGTACGTATCCTTCACGTGACGTACGTATCCTTCACGTGACTCACGTATCCTTCACGTGACTTACGTATCCTTCGCTTGACTTACGTATCCTTCACGTGACTCACCGGGAACTGGTCCAGCAGCCCAGGAGTGCAGGGATGCTGCTGGTGTAGCTGCAGCTGCAGCGCACGCCGCACCTCGCGCAGGTGGTGGAGCGTGTAGCGGCGCCGCGATGCGCTGGTTAAAAGCGTATATTATAACGTCAAGCGTATATTATAACGTCACGCGTATATTATAACGTCACGCGTATATTATAACGTCACGCGTATATTATAACATACATTATTGGTAGGCAAAACATTACTGAATCTTATTAATAAATGTTAAAATGATGTTAAAGTATAAAGAACATACTTATAGTTTTTATAATATTTAATGACAAGAGTTAAGTAGTAAATTTACTTGTAATATAATTATATTGTAACGCTCTTTATGATTATGCAAATTATTGATAAATGTTATTCATGAATGATTTCAGGATGCTAAGATATCGAGAAAAATTAGAGAAATGATATTGGTCACTTGGCGATTAAAATGGTGAGTACAATAATTTGAATGCTGAAATAATATCGTGAGCTGCGGCAAAAATTTTGACACCCATTGTAATAATCTCAATTATCTTGAATTATTAATATGGAGGGCATGGTTATTATTATTATCATCCGGTTTTTAGATTTCAATTATAATAATTAATTGAAGGTGATTAGCGTAAAATCTCTTCCAACTAATTGGAAATGACATTCAAAGTAATGTGAATTTAGTTGCGAATAGGTTGTGAATAAATAGTGTTGACTCGAACATGTCGAAGCTATCTCATTGCTATTTTAATTAACTTCGTTGCACTGAAAAATTTCTAAACGTATTTTCTTTATATTCTCATGGGGATAATTCCGAGTTTTCAGATAAATTTTGATATTACATTCAATGCTTGTTGAGAATGCCCAAAATTAAGGGATTCTTAATAGTTATTATACGTTGTGCGATTTAGTTTATGCAAAACCTAACGCATATATCGTTCATTTGCCCTATGATTAGGCCTAAAATGTACCATAAAATTTATTTTATGATTTAATTTAATTTATTTTGATGGAAAAATATTTTGAAACTTCTCTAAATCTTTTTGAAGCTTCGTCATTAATTTATTTATAAAATTGATAAATGCATGTCTTGGTGCAAAGCTCTGATTTTTTAATTCTAAATAATTTCATTACGAAATCTATATTATGGAGAAGATTTATCTTGGATTATTATTAAATCTTATTAGTGTATTATGGACCAATTAATAGGGCAATCGGGAGGGCTGGACGGCTTTCGTAGTTTTAATTGTATTCTCTAACTCATAGCATATAAAAGGCAAAATATTACGCGTTATAATACTAGACGCTTGTCTAATGAATATCTATTTTAATTACTTTTTGGCTACATTTAAGGCTTTTTCATACGTGACAGACCTTGCTACGTCGAGCTTCACGTACGAGACGTCTGCGTTGAATGATCTTCTGTTGTAGTATTGCTCCTGCACAATGCCTGATGTGGGACGTTATAAGACGTGATCAGATATGTTTAGATTTTTTTATAACATCTTTAGACTTGTTTAGATTTGTTATGACATGTTTAGATTTGTTACGACATGTTTAGATTCGTTGCGACATGTTTAAATTTGTTAAGACATGCTTAGATTTGTTAAGACATGTTTAGATTCGTTGCGACACGTTTAAATTTGTTAAGACATGCTTAGATTTGTTAAGACATGTTTAGATTTGTTACGACATGTTTAGATTTGTTAAGAAATGTTTAGATTTGTTAAGAAATGTTTACATGTATTAAAACATTTTTAGAATTGTTAAGATATGCTTACGTGTATTAAGACATTTTTAGATTTGTTGAGATATGTTTAGATTTGTTAATAGATGTTTAGATTTGCTAAGACATGTTTAGATTTGTTAAGACATGGTTAGATTTGTTAAGATACGTTTAGATTTGTTAAGACAAGTTTAGATTTGTTAGGACATGTTTGGATTTGTTAAGACACGTTTAGATTTGTTAAGACATGTTTAGATTTGTTAAGACACGTTTAGATTTGTTGACATGTTTAGATTTGTTAGCTCATGTTTAGATTTGTTAAGACATGTTTAGATTTTTTGTTTAGACTTGTTAAGACATGTTTAAACTTGTTATTTAGACTTGTTAAGATATGTTTAAACTTGTTAAGACATGCTTAGGCTTGTTTTGACGTGAGTAAACGTGATGTTTGTGAGGCGGTTTTGAAAGGTTATTGTCATATTTCGGATGCATTCTATTTTTCAATTTGCTGCAAGGCAAAACTGCTAGGATTTACGTAAAATGGAAGACGCAGTGTGAATTGAAAAAAATGGAATATATGTCAAAAAACTTGTAGAATAAGTTCAAACATTTCAAATATACGACTTATTACTTGGTATAATAATTTCTAGGTAGTTTATTTCTATGAAATCTATTGAATTTAATGTGTCATTGAAGTTTGAATTTTATAAGTTTAAGTATCACGGTACTTGTTTAGCTCACCCGAGATGTGCACTCCTCCTGCCCCTTGGTGTCGCGACCTGGGCACTTCGGGCGCCAGGATGTGGCGGTGGCCCATGACATTACCGCGGTAGAAGAAATCCCAGTCACTGATCTGCCCATGGAGGTTATGGATGAATTTGTGTTGTCATCTGCCCATGGAGGTTATTGATGAATTTGTGTTGTCATCTGCCCATGGAGGTTATGGATGAATTTGTGTTGTCATCTGCCCATGGAGGTTATGGATGAATTTGTGTTGTCATCTGCCCATGGAGGTTATGAATGAATTTCTGTTGTCTTAATCATATGCACTTGTCTTGTTGCAGTGAACTTATTTTGCGAAGAGAAAAGCTATTGTCGCAATTTTCGGTAATAACTATTCGTCAGTCATTTGATGAAGTATGTATCAATGAATTTCAAGGAAAAATGTCCCTGGAAATTTAAATTAACTGAGCATTGATTTTGACGAAAATTTTTTATGATGCAATGATAAAAGCAATCTCATGCAATGTACTTAAAATCAAGTTTTGAGTAAAAGAATGGAAGTCGTACATATACAAGTTCATATATATAAAACTTCTATACGTGAAAAGGTGTTCCTAATGAAAAATTCTGTTCGTTTCGCCACCGACTATGAGTCCGACGAGGACGATTCGCCATGTCATAAAAACGTTAAATTTACGTCAGTATTAAATATAAGATCGATGTGCGGCTGTAAAGTCATGTAACGTGCAACTGTCGATCGTCTGCGGAGAGCTGTAGGACGTAAATTCAGTGATGAAATTTTCTTAAGAGAATAAGAATTGAACATAAAACGAGGACTAAAATATTCATGCGGCGTTCCAACATTTGTATCCAGCTTTTTAACTTTTCATTGTGCAACGAAGCTTGAATACTTTTCGCAACTGGTGTAATTTTTGTATACTGCTGCTGTCTGTGCTGTACACAACAGCTGAAAACACTGCGCATTGTTACCGTTATTAATATACCGTACGCTGTTTGATGGCAATGTGCACTAGCTTCTACTGCCCATGCCGTACAGTGTAGATATAAGCTATCAGTACTGTACATTGCTGCTGTCTTTACTTTAAACAACGCTATCATTATTGTGGTCTACTGCTGTCTATATAGTACGCTGCTTTTGAAAATAACGTACACAATATATATTTGACAATAACGGACAAAAAACCTATTTGACAATAACGTACACATTACATATTTAACGATAACGCGCACAATATATATTTGACGATAACGTGCACAATATATATTTGACAATAACGTACACAATATATTATACAATTTATTCTACTGTGTGGCATGTGCGGTTACCTCACTACTATCTCTCGGTTGAGGAGGGATTGCGATGCTCTGTCAACTGCTGTCTCGGATTTAGAAAAATGATGTCTATGTTGTCGGGTTCAAAGCTCTTGCCATTTGCTTTAGTTGTATTTGATGCAGTTCAAGAACTGATATTTTCTTCTGCATGGTATATATGACACTGATACTAAGATCATGGCAACATTCCAGCCACTTCCAAATATGCTAAAGACGAAAACTTATAATGTCATTTATACCAGGTCTGCACGACTTTATGGTCCTTTTGACCAGCTTTGTAAACTGGGACTGTTTCCCATGGATGTTAAAACCATTTTATCAGTATTATCAGTATTAGCTATATGAACCAGAGTGATCTTTTATTAAGAATTACGGCAACTAATGTATTATGTGTATTATGTACCGTATAGTCCGCGTGTCTTGCTTGTGTGGTGCATGCGTGAGACAGGAAATAAGCGTGACGAGTTTTTACTAGCAGTTTTTGGGCGAAATAACGCCGATAAAAGTTGAAATCTCGCCGGTGTATCTTCCGTGAACTCGGCGCTCATTGCTCATAATTAATCGTTGTCCTGACAGACTGGAATTTTGTTGATATTTAAAAAGGATAAGAGTTGAATTTGAATTGGAAAAAAAACATTCAAGATTGAAGTCGTTTCTTAGTTTTTTGTTTTATCGTAACATTTCACAAAATATATCGCAGTGTAATCTCATGCAGGAGATGCATACAGTGTAACCATTTCTCTCATAGAAAACTCATCCCCTGCTATTCCTCATAAAAAAAAAACATTTTTCAAACTACTTGCAAGGAAAATTTACTTTACAACTCACAAAATACTCGGCTGGCCAGAAGTCGATTTCTTCAAGCTCCTTGCCAACGACCCGCGTGATCATCCAGCCGTAGGCGAAGGTTCCGCCGTGCCGGACAAGGCGGCTGAGGTTGTGCGCTGTCTCCGGGTACGAGTGAGTGTTGTAGGCGTTCACGCAGAGCAATAGCTCATCGCGGTCACTTAACAGCGGGGCTGTCTGCTGGAAGTATCTTTGAGAAATTGATATATTGGTTAACATTGATGGAGCTTTTGTGATATATTGGCGAACATTAATGATGGAAGTATCTGTGATACATTGTTATATTGGAAAACATTGATGGAAGTATCTGTGATACATTGTTATATTGGCTAACATTGATGGAAGTATCTATGATACATTGATATATTGGTTAACATTGATGGAAGTATCTGTGATACATTGATATATTGGTTAACATTGATGGAAGTATCTGTGATACATCGATATATTGGATAACACTGATAGAAGTATCTGTGATAAATTGATCCCTTAACAAAACTTACAATTTGCCATATGAAGTCGTAGAGCACGATTTCATTTAAAGTAAACAAATTGTCAGTTTAACTAATTTTGGTAAATAATTTTTTCCGGAACACGAGCTCATTCAGTGTAATAGAGATTTGTTTGTTTTGTTGATATTCAAAGCTTATTTTCCTTCAGTTCTCAGCGTTTTGTTAACAAACTAACGCTCAATTTAGCTGATAATGCAATACTAATTAATTGATTTTTAAACTGCTTGCTTTATGAAAACAATATCATTATCTAAACCGAGGAAAAATTTCCCTTCGTCACTAAGAAGATAGAAAACAGCACATAAATTTAATGATAACCAGTGGAATGGTTTTCAAATAAAATGGTTAAACCAGTGGAATAGTTTAACCAAACCAAACAGTTCAACCAGTGGAATACTTTAACCAAATCAAATAGTTTAACCATTTTAAAGATGCTATATTTTTCACCATAAAATTACTAAAAAATTCCACAAAATCAAGAATTATTCAAGTAATAACCAATCTTCCAAATAAAACCAGTGTAATAGTTTCCAAAGAAAGTTACTAACGACATTATATCTGGCGACAACTGGACATCATCTTCAAGGATGACGGCGAACTCAGCGTGCTGGAACAAGCGGAAGACTTGCGTCACCGAGAACTGGATCATGACGTTGATACGAGACAGAGTACCTACAGGTAGAACGATATACTTTGCGGAGAAACTTTTACAATATTCTGAATCACATACATAGTGTCAAGACCTGATTGTTTATAATATGCAAAATAGGAAATTTGTACTACTATGAAAAACCTTACTCTGCATTATATACCTAGTGAGAGCATGACCGTTCTGTGCATGATGTGCTCAATAAGGCAGGCAAATAGGTGCACCGTTTTATGCAACTTAATGGGAATAATCTGTACTAATAATGGAAAACAAACACTCCTTCTAACGTCCCAACAGAAGATAGTGTTTTACAGGCTCAGAATATTCAGAGGCCACGGGTCATTGTGATGTCGAAACAGTATGTTTAAAGTGAATTATCGTTATAATGAAACTCATTGTACTGTGATTATTGACTCGAAATATTTAAAAATAATTCCAACGATGATTCACAACCTCCTTTTACTTTATAATTATGACCTCTTTTGACAGTGTTTTGATCAGCCACCGTCACACTGATGTTCAGTAGCCGCGCCAGATGCTGGGCCGCGTCTCTCGGGCCGTCCAGACACATCACCATCGGGACCTGCTGGCCAGCAGGGTGCCTGCGTACCACCCTGATCTGCTGCAGCACTTGAGGCAACCGCAACGCCCCGACCAGCGCTACTGCTATCACCGGCAGCGAGCTGTTCAGAGGCTGAAAACGTTTTTAGCGCATTTTCTCATTTACGGAAAAAATGCACTATTGTGCTCGCCATGTCCGTCTGTCTGTCTGTCCGTCAGTCTGTCCGTCCGTGACCTCAAGTTTTCGTCGAGAAAATGCGTTCTCTGTCACTCACTGCAGTGAGTACTGAGTTATATTTTTTTACTATTATTCATTGCGTTAGTGCTAATTCATTGTGGTATTGATACAGCAAGCTGTTCAGCGGCTGAAAACGTTTTTTTAATTATTATTCATTGCGTTAGTGCTGATTCATTGTGGTATTGATACAGCAAGCTGTTCAGCGGCTGAAAACGTTCTTTAAAATCATTATTTATTGAGTTAGCCTGGATTCAACGCCCCTACCAGAGCAACTGCTATCACCGGCAGCGAGCTGTTCAGAGGCTGAAACGGGCTTATTCAATTATTATTCATTGTGTTAACCCTGATTCATTGTGGTACTGATATTTTTATTGGATGTAAATACTGTTAACCTCAACTCGTTAGTTCCTTACTGAGTTCATCTAAGAAATTTGTCATGAAGAGGTGAAAAGATTGGGAGTTTGAATAAAATACTTTCGGCAGTATCTTTAAACATGAGATAGACAAAGATTAGCTATACACTCTTAGTAATAAAAATTAAATAATTGATTAAAAATAATCACAATTGAAAATTTAATAACATTCAAAATTTGAATAGTTTAAATGTAATAACTAGGAAGCTCACCAGGGCACGCGGAACGAGCGCTTCAATGGTGGCATTACAGGCACAAAAGTCCCCAAAACCTTCATATTTCTCGCAGAATTCTGCGTGGTCGCCTGTCAGAGCGCTGCCTGCACCACATCTTTCTGACTCAATAAAAAACTATGTTAATCCAGTCTCCTCTACATTGTATGCCAGAAACGTTCCCAACAGTCTTCAAATGTTTAAATTATATTATTTTAAAGGTTGTTAGCCGAACGAAATCCACTTGTAATCAACGTTATTTGAACGTCATTCGTCTGGAAGTTTGATTGATTGATGAGTTCCACTGAAATGTGTCACAGTACACATCAGGTGGCTACTCTCTCTAATCCTCATTGTGAAAATTGATGTACTCGTGCACCTTATCGTTTTCAACACGCAAATTTGATTGCATACATCGTCAGTACTGGAGAACGGAAGGTTTCATTCACCAGTAAAAATTCTTATGAAAAACAGAATATTAGTGAGTACCTACTGCAGATTCTGATGCTGAGGTCAAAGTTTGATAATGATACAATACAAAAATATTCCTTTTTTCACGTCTGGTTCTTTAAATTATCTTGTTGTCCTTCTAGCAAATAATTCATTGCGAAACACTTTAAAATTGAAACTAGTCCTATATATGTGGTCACTCTGCACAAGTGCACATTATAATGCTTTGAACTTATATCAAGAGCGATGATGATCTTTTATTATCGTGCTATTAACTCATTTCACGCTAATTCCTCATGCAAATTTTCACGGTAACAAACGTTCGCTTTAAATACCGTTACTATCTTATCCTCTGCTCTGAGGCCAATGACAGTGTCCAAACCTGTTAGGTACACGTAAGAAAACCATATACTGTTATCAAGAACAATTATTCCCTTTTATTTTTTCTCTAGATAACTACTCATTTTCACGATAATTACTCATACAAATTTTCCTGCTAACAAGCTTACGCTAAGAACACCGTTATTACACTGTTATAAAAATGACCGTTAACGGTATTACCGGCGTTTCAGTGGCCGGTAGACACGTGAAAAGAAACACCGCTTCACCGTTTTTATTCTAATTTAACACCAGAAATCCGTAAAACATCTGATAAAAACGGCGAAACAGTTTATTTTCACGGGGCGACAGGCCACTAGGATGCCGGTGGGACCGTTTTTTCACCGTTTGTTCTAACAGTGTACCAAGTCAAATTTAACAGGCGTAAGCTATAAATCTTACCCTCTACACTGAGGGTGATGACCGTGTCCACAACAAGAGGCGGACCATCCCACTCGTAACCCTGAGCGATCTGTGCAGTGCTCGGTTGGTCATACTTGGTACATACTGCCTCGAGTATCACTGATGGAGGGATACGTGATGCTGATGCTCGTGTCTTCACTACGAGGATAAAAGGCTCGTAGAGTACGAGCGATCCTACGAACTGCGAGCCGAGTTGTAAGATCAGCGATGTCGCCGCTTCTGAAAGCTCCTTCACGAAATCTGGCTGCACACAACATCAGACCACTGACAACAACTGATAATTAAGCTCGAAATCATTGCACACAGAAAGATTGTAATAAATTGACACTCGAAGAATCTTCTATAATTCGAACTTTTTATGCAGGTATCTGCTTTTGATTAAGTATGCAATAATTTGGCCAAAATACTCAAAGCTCGTACATGTACGAGAATGCACGTACAAAAATTTTAAATAACTTGCACGCGAATAATTTTTCCATAGTTAGAAATTTTCAGCTAGGTAAACGTTTATGATTAAGTACATATGCCAGGAGACTCGCAATTTTGCGTGAATACTCACGGCACCAACGAGTACAAGAATGCGTCCATCTTTGATAGATTTTATTTCCGTGACAAGTTCGGCAGCACTCGCGGGTTCCCAGGTTGTGTAGTTGGCAGTGCGCATCACAGCGCCGGTTTGTGCGTTCAGAGCGATCACGTGAACGCCGGCGTGCTGGCGCCGTAGATTAACTGCGCTCCAACGCATCGTTCTGTTCCAGGACCGGTATACCTGCACGGTTAAGACGTTAATTCTTGTTGTTATTTTTGTGTGAAAGATGTTACTTCGCTTAAAAATACTGGACCATTTTCAAGGTTTTGTTTTATATTATTTTTGAAATTTAGCTAATGTTCATTGAGGAGTAAGGTGTAAGTAGAACTTGTTTTATTCCAAAATATTGATGACCTCAATGTCTACATTGAAATATTCGTTTTTATGTGGAAAACTTGTTTTATCACGCTTAGGAAAATTCGTTTCATAACTAGATGGGCATTTGATTATCGTCCATGCTTTTCGTGTTTTTTTTTGTAATCATGTAACCAATCGTTGCACATTTGAATTTTGAATCAGATTATAATTACTATCATTTATTTCTTCAAATCCAATTTTGCCTTTGTCTTAAATTTCTCTTTCAAGATAGGCAATGCATTCCGCATTCTCATTGGAATTTTTATTTGCCCTATTTGAAAATTTTCCTTATATTGTACTACAATTGAGTTCGATTCCTCACTTCTTGACCGTTGACTTCGACGACAGCGCCATTTCTGCTCGTGTAGGCATAGAGGGAAATTTTCCCGGCCGCCGGTTTGTTGAGCCTCCCAACCGCCAAGTATTCTCTTTCCGGTCCTGCGGATCGATGTCGCTTGGTCTGCGCGAACGCTTGCGTGGCGGCGGCAAGGCGCCGGTTTTCTTTTAGCGTCTTTGTCGTTTCGTGCGCGACATCGACTGTTGATTTGTTGAAATGCGGATGAAGAATTTTGTCCGAGTTTTCAACTCTGACTTCGCTTTCAACTTCGCTTCCGAAATGCTGATGAAGAATTTTGTCCGAGTTTTCAACTCTGACTTCGCTTTCAACTTCGCTTCCGAAATGCTGATGGAGAATTTTGTCCGAGTTTTGCTCGAATTCATCAACTTTGCTTCCTTTGGCATCGTTAAGATGAAGCGCTCCTGACAAATTAGAATCAGTTTCTTTAGTGATGAAAAAATTTTGAATTTCTTTATGCGATTTTGGAAAATATTTTCCTGCGATCGGTGCTTTTCGCGACTGATCGTGTTGATGGGAAAATTTATTGCTATGAGAATCATACTTTACTTTATGATCGAGGTTTGACGCGAAATTTTTTTTAAAACCTCCGTTTTTGTTGAAATCGTTTTGAAAATCCTCCGTCTTTTCGGGAGTATTTTGCGAAATTACATGGAACTGCTGCGTCTGATTCTGCAAAGCGAATTTTGGGTCTTCTGATGATGGGAGATAAACGCCGTCGTTTGTGGAATCTGAAACAACATAAAAGATCACATTAAATATTGCTGGATCTTGATATAATTTAGAACTATTCTAGTTTCATGATGTTCGAAGTGCAGTCACATAAGTGACAGGTGATGTATTCCTCTACAATTTGTTGGTAATTATTTTTCCTCATTTTCACTGCACATCTCAAAATTTAGTTTAGTTCTAAATTTATAAAATGAATGACCAGACAGCGTACTGAAATACATATTATCAGAGTGAAATCGTAAAACCAAAGAAATAAATTTCCTCAAGATACATCAAAATTACCCTAGAATCTGGAGCGCAAAGAAGATCGAAGATCCTATAAATCCACACGATTGGATTTTCGGTTGCTGTTTGCCGTGGCTAAGCTTACCTGTTGCTCTGGAGCTGTTGCGTGCCTTGAGCAGCAGTTGGGGCTGATGTATTTTTTGTATTAATTCAGCTGTTTTTGCTGTCGCTGTTGCACCAGCCGACGCCATGCGATGTAACACTGCAACTGATGCTGTAGTAGAATTCAATGGTTGCACGACTGTCGTATTTGTGTGGTGTTGTATGAATTCTAAATCATGCGGCGGCACTCTCATCATTTCAAATCCGTCAGGTGTGGACACTTGGTCTCCATCGGTTACAGCCTGTGTGCTAGATTCTTTCTTTAATTCGTCTCCATGTTCTTCATGGAGCTTTATTCCGTGGTTAAGAGAGCGCACATGATGGCAACTTCCGATGACGAGTGTGAGGCAAATAGACGTGATGTATAAATTCATTTTCGCGGAATGATAATAAAACTTTTCGCACTTTCAATTGTTAACAACTCCCTAGTGATTTATAATTTTTCTTCAGTTCAAAATAGTTAGAGATGCGTTATATAGTTTTATTCTTAGTGCTAAATACGAAAGTTGTTTGTAAATTACTTAATTAATATTTTGTTAGTTTTTCATATCGCTTCATAAATTGTTGGAAGCTCACGTACATTACCATCTATCTTATCAATCATGCCAATTTCGCACTTCCGTTCCATTAAGCGAATTGATATTTAGTCACCAATCTCCAAGGTACAGTTCTTTACCACCTTTCAATATATATTTTAAATCGCATTTCATGTTTCATTGACCATCAAAATTCATGTGCAAACTCACGTCTTGAAGTTTACAGGAATACTAGTGCTGGTATGCGTGCATATCCTTGAACTGCCAATGAAGTGTGTTTTTTCCTGAGAATCTTTACGACGTTTCTTTCCTCGTATGAAACTGAGCCTTGATACCCGAACGACACAAAAAATCTTGCTCAGGAATTTTATTTAGCGTCAGCACTTCCTTGTGTCTAATCTAAAATTTTATTCCCAAGTTCGACACCTGTTCTATGGTCGATATTACTCTGAGATATTCATCCTATGTTCGACGTAACTCTGAGACATTGATCCTATGTTCGGCATAACTCTGAGATATTCAATCCTATGTTCAATATTACTCTGAGATATTCAATCCTATGTTCGATATTACTCTGAGATTTTCATCCTATGTTCGACATAACTCTGAGACACTTGATCCTATGTTTGACATTACTCTGAAACATTGTTCCCGAGTTCGGCATTGGTACTATGTTCGACTTTACTCTGAGATTTCGTTCCCAAGTTCGACACCTGTCTTATGTTCGACATTACTCTGCGACATTGTTCCCGAGTTCGAAATTGGTACTATGTTGGACATAACTCTGAGACATTGATCGTATGTTCGACATTACTCTGAGAAATTCATCCTATCTTTGACATTACTCAGAGATATTACTGCTTATGTTTAAATGATCCATAGGCTGAAGGATGTGTATAGTTGTTTGATGTAGAGGTAAAAATATTTTGCGGTAAAACATGTAGGTAATAATATGATTAAAGGAAAAATTATTTTATGACAAGTCAAACAATGTGTGTTCATAAGTAAAGTTATTAACGTATGAATGAAAACCTCACTTGTCGCAAAATCCCTCAAAAAGCTCATTCAGAACTTTTTTTGGTTCGTGATTCAGGTAGTTTAATTTATCCTCAATTCTTGTGGGAAATGTAGAAAAACAATGAGTGCTAAAAATTAACTTTTATACCTATTTTTGAAGTTAGACTGAAGAAATATAGCTGATGGAAAATAGAGGATTTTTCAGCAACAACTCAACTATTTATAGTGATATTCTCGAAATAGAATGGTTATCCCATCCTTCTGGAAGACATGCATCAAACGTGGTCTAAACGAAAGAGATAATTATCTATGTATTGTTTCGTTTTTTGGACTTTTTCGGCTCGGGCACATTTCGGACGTGATTATATTTTTTTCCTATGAAAAACTAATAGTTTTCTTACTATATTTTGTTTCATCTCTTTTCTTCAGTGGCGGCATATGATGAGAGTGAAGAATACACCTTCTCTGCACCTGCTTGCAAGCTATACGCTCTGAACTTCATGACGTCGTCGCGTCTTCTTCTAATTAACAAAAAAATTCAACTTAACGAATATTTGATGTTGGAATGACGTCCGCTTGTAGGGTTTCATTGCACCAAGATGTAGAGTGCAGATGATGGCTTTATCTTGTATATTCACGAACAGGTCTCATCTTGCATAACTCAGATGTATATTTTCATATAAAAGTTTTATTTGCGATCGCAGAGTTGGTGACAATGATGTGTGATGAGTTCTGAGTGAACATATGTCCGTTAACAGGGGTAATTAATTTAAATTTTGACTCTATATTTATTATTAATAAATGCATTGATTAGTCTTTCCCTCGCGCTCGAACTTAACTTGTTATATTAATTATCAGGATTGAGTGTTGCCATCGTAATTAGGTTTTAAAGCACGTAAATTATTAAAAAAAGTGAATGACAAATGTTATGTAAATTTGATTCTAAATAATGTAAATTATGTTATAATCAGCATTAATTACTTGAATATGAAGGAAACAAAGAGCTATGAGTTCTAAAAAATTATTCACGTACGACTACTGAGTAAAAACGGTCATATTCTCCAAACTTTGATCAATTCTTGGCCTGATGCAACAATTACTGGCCAAATTTATCTCAAATTATTGCCACGCATTGAACATGTTTTATTATTTCATAGTTGGGATTTTTATACGCACAGTGCGAATGATTTGACATTCACTTTTTCACTGCTGAACGACCAGTTTTAATGTATAATGATAATTGATGATTATTTTCATCGTTTTTGTAGGTCTAGAAGGGAAATGACGATAAAATTACGAACAATTTTAAATATTTTTGATAAATTAGTGATACAATAACAATCTTGATCGTAAATAGAATTAGGAGTAGGGCAAAGACAACAGAGATTGTTGCAGGCAGTAAAATATCGGGGTTTAATTTAATTAATATTTTTTGTGATGATTAGCGACAATAAAAAGTTGAAACATTAGCAACAACAACGATCAAAATAATTAAGTTTCAAGCGAAGTCTCATGAACTAAATAATTATCCATGATTTACTGTAATGATATAGAAAATTTTTGAAGTTTTTCATAGTGTTAGGATTCGAGCATTCGTAATTTGTTGTAGTGAAGTAGTTTTTCGTTTTCACAGAAGTGAAAATGAAATTGAAAACGCTGTTACGTGAATTATCTACGTTGAAATTAATCTCGACCGATCCGTTTCATTTCTGCTCCGTATTTTTTTTATGCACGGGATTTTTAATTTCTGCTCCGTATTTTTAAATTCTGCTTCATATTTTTATTGCTGCTTCATATTTTTTATTTTTGCTCTTCATTTTTAATTTCTTTCCCGTATTCGGCATCGCACAGAGCAGAGAGAAGTCGTGGCTTACAGTTATTTAAGAAATACACGAAGGCCCATATTTTTTTTATGTGCGTAATAGACAATTAAAACTTCGCTATAGGGAATTAGCTTAATGGTTTCCGCCCCTTTTGAAGGAAGTACGAACAGTTTTGTAAAGAAACGGAGGAAATTATTTAGTACAGTAAATATTTAGTGCGAACATCAGTACAGTATATCGTTATATTGAAAGGCGCACGTGGTCGGCCATCGAAAATCAACCTATTTTTCAACTGATAATAAACTGATTTTTAGCGCATTTTATCTTTTATGGAAAAAAATGCACTATTATGCTCACCATGTCCGTCCGTACGTCTGTCTGTCCGTCCGTGACTTCACGTTTTCGTCGACGAGAACATGCGCTCTCTGTCACTCACTGCAGTGAGTGCTGAGTAATATTTTTTCAATTTTACACTTGATTCTACCTTAATATGCATTGCGATATTCGGTCTTCATAATTAGGAAATAAAATGCATTGCGAATAAAATTTAAAGATCTAGTCAACATTAGCCAGTTGAAGTTTGTATTCGATTCTCAGGAATAAGGCCATTTTATCTATGCCCATTATATAGCAACCAATTTCACTGCACCGACTAGACAGAACCGAGCCTGAGGTTTCAATTTGACCAATTTGTTCTTGCGTGATAACGGTTCTATTTAAGACCTTTACGTTCGAATTATTTTAATGCAATAGTTGCAATTGGCGGCCCTAACAGCGAGGTGATCTTATAAGGGTAAGCCTTCTCTTAAACTTACCCCATTTGCCCCGAAAACTAGGGATAAAATTCTGCCTTTGGAGCGCTAAGTTCCGTAGACTCTCCTCAAGCTCAGCCGTTCGCAAAGGCTGATGCTACATAGAGGCAACATTGCATTTTCTCGTTCTACTGGGGGCATTTATTGGGTCTTTTAAAACTAAATAACCATCAAATACTCACGAGAAAAATGAATTTCCCCATATTATTAGGGTTTTTTAATTATTGAGAAAAAGCTTTCCACTGCCCTGTCATTTAAAAAAAAAACTTTCTCTGCCCTAAATCGACTGACTGTCTTCGTCGCCCATTTACAGTTCTGTATCTTCAGTCCCTGAAGATAAATTTTAAATGCGTCTGATAAGTTAGCGAAGTAACATTCACCGTAAGCTCAAATATCATTCTAGTCACCATATTTTTTTCACCATCTCACTTGTGAGTGTAGATAAGAGAAGTCTTCTTCCTTTCTTCTGTGCATGAATCTGAAGAGTTCGCTGCTAATTTTTATTATTCGCTGTATTTTATCAGGCAAGAGACTCCCTCTCTCTCTCAAGTTCTCTTTGTAAATTCGAGTGCTGACGTCCTCTTGACTCGAGCTGTTGCTCGCTGCCTTTGGAAACGTGAGCAAAGAAGATTTTTTTGTTCGATGTCGGGGGAAATTAAAAGGAGCGGAAAATGTAGCAGTGACTCCAGATGTGCTTCAAGCTTCCTCGAGACTCTCGGCTTCTTTGTAGTACTAATGAAGAACTCAACAATTATTTGGAGGATTATAGTTGTATTTTTACTATACAGTACATATTGAAACTTTTTTTGCGTAATATAATCATTTAAAACGCAGCCGTTTTGGAAAAGGTTATAAATCATGCGTTTTTTTATTCTATCTCTCACTTCTGGATATTCCTCATCACCCAATTGCGTCCGATTAAAAAATTTTTAGTATGTTGAAGCGGTATTTAATGAATATTGTGTAAATAATATTATACTTTATCACAATGGAAATACCTTATTTATTAGTTTGATTTGATATAATATTTACATATAGTTTATATGCACTCATATAGATGTAGATAGAGTCCTGATTTTATTATACACTTGCCCAGTTATCCCACTGAATCAAGGGTCTATTTTTCAATTGGTGTGCGAGGTGTCGTGGTGTCACTTTGTCCTTATCAGCTTCTGATACAAGCCACATGCCTCGCGCCCAGCATCTCTGGCCATCTGAATCAAACTTGGCCGCTCTGTGTGGGGCATCATTTACTGCCGACCGAGGGTAAGATATATACCATTTACTGCCGACCGGCCCGAGGGTAAGATATGTACCATTTACTGCCGACCCGAGGGTAAGATATGTGCCATTTACCCTCGAGCTCTGGGTAAGATGTATGCCATTTAACGCCGAGGTGAGGGTAAGATCTGTGTGGAGGGAAGGTGCCTGTATGTTGCGGGAGGTGACCGTGTGAAGTGCTTGACGAAAGCGGGCTGAGGTTTTACTGTCAATTTAGTTTAGTGTGATGATTAGGGATTTTTTACGGAAGCTCAACGGAGTTAATACGGTTAAAAACATTGTGGAAATATTTTCATTGGAATATTGACTAGTTGAGTGATTTTCAAGAATTTAAATCTTCTAGTTACGTTAATAACCAATGGTAAATTAGTATGAAGCAAGTTTTTCGATTACTTTTTCGATTCAACTCTCACATGATATGAAGTTTTTCAAAAGAAAAGCTGAATTTTTTGCGAAATTTGTCGACGACTGAAATTATTTTCTAGTAGAGCTGCCAAAATGCTGAAGTGGTGCTCGTGTGATGCTCGCCAAAGTGGCAACTATTATACCAACGAGCCGATCAAGACCTTAGCTCAACACACTGATGAAATAAAGGACGAGGAAAATAACCTCTCGGACACCTGGCAAGATGAGCCAACCTATCAGAATTTACCGCGGATTACCAAAACTGTCGGCGATGCAGCTCGTATTGAACCTCAGAGAGGGAATTTGTTACTTGTAAGGAAACATAATGAACAGACTGAAGAATTTCTATCGTTTCCGTTTCATAAATTGGAGAACGACATTGGCTCTTCCGAGCTGACAACCCAATTCGATGTTCCCCAAGAAATTGATGTTCCTAAATCGAAGGACATCTTCGCCCAACTTAGATCGGAACAGACTCAAGATCACGTCAAGAATTTGGAACTTGCCAGTGATAGTCAACGGAGGCAGAGGCTGAAGCTGGCTAATGAAAACAGCTTCCTGGAGTTAGGAAGGGCTGCGTTTGGCGCTGAGATTGTCCCTGAGCACGATTGTTGCACGCCAGAGCTTATCAATCAAATGCCCGTAGTAGAAAAACTTGATCACGTCCAGAACTGTACGATTAGCTCTCAGCACATTGTTTCGGCCCAGAAACAGTTGGATATTTGGCCTCCACACAAAGAACCCAAAGAAAACTTCGAGGATTCTGATGTGAGAAAAAACGACACTTTCGCTTTGCTTTCTGGGGTATTGACGACCATAGACGAGGAAGAATCCCAGTTGCATGCTGATTTCAATCAGGTAATCCAGATGAAGGAAATACAACCTAACGAAAATGTAAATGTCTTACAAAAACAACACAAAAAATATTCTCGTCACCTGGACATTGAAGCGGGGGCTAAGCATGATGTTAGTGATTATGTTGATCAAAAGTTAGAAGGAGGCAGACACATGCAAGATAAAAACGTTGAATTTGAGATGGAATACGACAAAGTTGTCAATTTTAGTAAAAGCGATGCTGGAGGTGCCTGCCTAGATCCAAAAATTTCAGCGATGGCTGATTGCAAACCGTTTGAAATGTATGGGAACAAATCAGCATTGTTCAGTGAAAGTCAGGATATGCCAAGAACTGAGAAGAATTTCTTGAATAGAGAATTTGAAGTGCAGACAGGGAGGTCACTGCCATTGATTGAAACCTGTACATTTACGAAAGCAACAGCGCATTCTACTGCCAAAAACGTCTGTCAACCGGTAAATTTCGAGGGATCGCGAGCCAATGTTCAAAGCAAAATCCGGCCAGTCGTTGCCCAAAATGTTTCTCATTCCATCACTTTTCATGGTACAAAATTTTCTGATTCTCAGCAACCTAGCTTTATTTACAAAACGCGTAAAGCCAAATTGGCCCTGAGCTCCAACTTGTTTAGGATGGTCCGTCAGCTAGACGTCGAGCCGGAGAGCTCTGAAACCGCTGCTTCTCCATTTATTGAGAGTCCAAAGTCTGAAAATTTTTTGAAAAATGAGCCATTTGCGGCTCCTAAGACAAACGCTGTTGTGTCGCAAGAAGCAACGGAGAGTTTCAACGACGCAGAAATAGGCGTTACAAACATTAATATTTTGTCTTGTGACTCTGACACTATTAATTTGTCCTATGCAGATGTGCTTCCTATACAAAGCGGCACTGTGGAAAAAGCAATAAAAATTGAAGTGAATAATCGTGCACATGACACTAAAATGAAACGCGAAAACGAAAAAATTGAAAAGTTACGCAGCAACATAATATTGGATGAAGCCAGGCAGAGAAATATGCCATCTTGTGTATTACAACGAGAAATTTCCTCCACAGACGAAGAAGCTAAAAGCAGCGCCGCTCCAAGTAAAAATTTTAAAGCTACAAATCTAGCCACGCAAGCTCCAACAGCTGCCGTGGCACAGAGTGGAAGTATCGTGTCTACGAAGTTTAGAGAAAATTTGAACAAACTCAAAGAGTTTTATGACACTATAATATCAGATTTTGAGCTGCAGACGAAAGATGATTCTACACCTGTTCATAATAAACTGACTGAGGATAAAGCAACGCATTCAGCAGACGATTCTGTTTTACGATGCACTTTGGTTTCAAAGGAAGAATTTAATCCCAAAATACGAAGAGTTTCTTCGCTGGGCGTCAAATGTGATAAAGAAAATGAAGCCGATTTTTCTTTGTGCGAAGATTCGACAGAAGTTTCTTGTACGTCACCACCAAGTAACGGCTCTGATTCCAGTTATCTGAACCAGTCGTACGGCCTTGCTGATCAGCTCCCAATTTATTCATTGGCTGAAGTTGAGCAGAAAATGAATGACGCAATTTGTGATGAGCGCCGAACTCAAGACTTGGCTCGAGCCTCGACATGCTCGGGGCTCGTCCGTAACAAGATAGCCATATTGAACGGCAGAGAAAACGCGATCAAGTCAAGCGTAAAACTTCTTTCTGTTGAATCCAGTGAAGAGAATGATTGTCTGAACCGTGATTTGAAACCCTCCTGTTCCACGTCTTCTCGAACTTTGAAAGCGGATCTAAATGTAGAAAATGATGCAGGTAATGGCTTCTGTAAAATATATAAGCTTCATCCTGATTATTCTGAGGACGGAAAATCTAAAATCCGAACATCGCTTTCTTCAGTACAAGCATCGAAAAGTTTGTTTGATATCTCCAAAAAAAATTTGGACAACGATTCCATTATAGAAATGAGCAATAAGTATCCTACATCATTCCCTGCGTCTGGCCATGGAGATGTTATTACTTGCAAAAAAATGGAAGCTGCATCTTTTGAAATGAGTGAAATTGAGAAAAGCGACGGGAATGGTTCTACTCATGATGTTATTGTCCATCATTCTTCTCAACCCACTATGTCTACATTAATATTTTCAAGTCGTTATGACATTTTCACTAGTTTAAATGAATGTAAACAAAAACACACCCCCGCTCAAGAGCCTTTGTATTTTAAAAGTAACTCTCACGTGTGTTCTACTCAAACAGACGTACAAATAGAACACCCTGAGACTAAATATTTCTCTACCATTCAAGTGACACCAAACTCCTATAAAGTGTTTACCACTTTTCTGGTATCTACAGCTAGCAATGTTAATTTCAACACTTTGGATCCATATGACTGCTGCACTTTCTCCTCGTCTCTTTCAAGTCCAATAACGAGTGTTATGCCGCTAACCAGAGAACAAAATTTCCAGGACACGACTTACGCTGAAGTCCATTCGCTTGAACCCCACAATTCTCAGACTGCTGTGACCGAACGGCGTAATTTACTTGTTGATATTCTGCCAAATTGTGGGCTTGAGAAAGATGCTAATGAAGGCCTGACACTACACCAGCCTGTTTATTCCCGTTTGCGCCTGCCCGCTCCACCGAAATCTTTTCTCCACTCATCGAAAGCACCGAAACTAACTCCACCAGACCCACCTCCCAAGCCTTCCCGGCTCAAAAAAGCAGGGGAAGTAAAACGCGCTCAGCTCGTGAAAGATCTTCAGGATTATAAACGTGTCGATACCTTTTGCTTTCCTAAAATTGAAAACATTGATTTCGCACATGAAGAATCTCCTAGTACTTGTGTACATCAACTAAATTTGTTTGAAAGCCCCAGTCAAGATGCTACAGAGAATATTTACTCTGATCTCCATATTGACGATTCCTCAAGGGTATTGAGGCACACTGACCGGTGCAGTAAATTTCATAAGGGTCCTGCTGCGCTTGAGTTGGAAAAAAATACAGGAAATCTCACCAAAGAAATTAAAGGTGCGAGTGCTTTCCCTGAATTCTCTCGCACATATAATGATGACGACATTAAATCTGACGATGGATTCACTGAAGGGGACAAAAACCGCACTATTGGCTCTCAAGCTTCAAAAAATGACACTCAACTGCACTTAAAGTCCCAGCAAAAAAGGCGAAGGTTCATGGATCATTTTTTTCGCTTTTCTGTTTGGAAACGAACGCGTTTGAAAAATATTGACTTGAACGATCTCAAAAATTCCATCTCCATTGATAAACTGATGTTACCGGAAGAAGGAATTAAACCAAGCTCTTCGAATTGTGTTATGCATTCTACTGATGGCCGATTTGAAAATTCACATTCGCCGATGCAATTACGCCAACGAAATGTCCCTTTTGACGAGCCTCAAAAAGATGTCGATGAAATTACAGAATTTTGCTCCCTGGAAATGAGCAGCGACGGCTCACAAAACAGTACTGCAAGCGCGATGCTGCAGAGCGCTGTCGACTTACTCGAGGCTGTGGAAAAAGAATATGACGTGTGTGGCTTTTCGTGCGAGAATTATGATCACTTATTATGTGTGCCACAAACAATTAGCTTCACTACTGAAAATAACGCTTTTTCTTCTGATAACGAGAAAGAGGAAATCTATTGGGAGGGAGACGATTGGCAAGTGGCAATAGTTTCCACAGTTAGCGAAGTTTCTACGGTTGAAGCATGTGCAAATAACGGCTATCCTGAAACCACATGTATTCCTTACGAGCCCGAAAATATTGGCAATCCAGAATCCGCTCCTAAATTTCAAGAAAACGTCAACATAGATTCCGCCGCTGGATTCAAACGCGAAACTAGCGCTACTGAGAATGACGCTCCTAGTTTATCTAAAAGAACGAAACCGAAAGGGTGCGGTTTTTATCGAGGCAGAAAGAATCGTCGTGATCGACGAGCTGTGGTCGATTCCGAGATTATTCCAGAGGAGCTCGGCGATGCGTCTGCTTCGTCAAAAAGCAGGAAGGAGGATGAGTTAAATTTTTCTTCCATTTCTACAAGTTCTCGTGGCCCGCTGGCTCTCAGAAGTTGCTCTCGTTTTTTGACAGCCACTGCCAGGCCAAAAATATTAGATAAGCGACCGTTGGAGTTAAAAGGAAGCACGACAGCGTTTCCGGAACCTTGCGTCATGAAAGCGCTATCTGAAACTCGGGTGTTCTCACCCTTGGCCAAGCATGAAACTCGGGCATCTCTTCGACGAGGCTTCACGACTTCCAATACGAAGAACAAACACAGAAAATCATCTTTCAAGATACTTCGCAAACAACACAAGAAGGAACACAAGGAAAAAGAGGACTGTGTTGTCACCTCGTATAGCTTTGCGCGCAAATACAGCTGCTGTTATTGCACACCTAACGCGTGCATGAGATTCTCAGATCATCGTATCAAACGTGAATGGTTACACCGATCGAACGAATGCAAGGCTGTCATCGAACATCTGGACTATCATCGTTCTCGCCAGCCCCGGCAGGTATGATTGTTAATAAGAATTTAGTTTTGATTATTTCATATGGAGTTATACTTTTTCGTAATTATTATAATCGATTCTTTAGATTGTAAATAGACTAAAGCAGGCTATTAATTATTCTGTTTTTTTTTTTTGTAATCATTTCTAAAGTTCGGGCTGTGCTTTCCATTTGTGCTGTGTTTTTCCATTTCGAGTCCGATTGTAATATTTTACTTCTATTTATCAATGTCAATATGCTTTCGAGTTATGCCCTGACATATGCATGTGTTCCTCACACAAATGAGTCATACGTGACCCACACGTCACCCCTGTGTCTGGGTGCTGGCAAAGACGTTGTCGAGTGCAACGTCGTCAGCAAAGTTGTTGGTAAGCAGTCTGTAAGACGTGGTATCTGTGACGGGATGACGTTGCAGATACGATGAGTCTGCCTTTACCACGTCAGATTCGGTGGGCCGATACAGCGTCATGTTTCCCGTGTTGTACTTACTGTGGAAAATTGATAACCGTTTATTTATTTATCCGTTTGGTATATTTATTTTTATTTATATTTATTTATTTGTTTGGTATGTTATTATAAATAAAATTATTATTTGTTTGGTATATTTATTAGTGACTAGGGTTATTAGAGTATTTTGATGATACGATGAGAAAAGTGAACACATTTGATGAAAAAATTGATTACCTACGCAGATACTACTGATCACAAGCAGGTAAACTATTAAGTGTTAATGGAAATGATTTTCACAAAATCTTGATGGTTCTTTGGCTTTCTTTTAAACGTGTAAAGAATTGTACGTTATATTATATTCAGCTCAATTATGATGGTCGGTAAAATTCATTGATGTCATAATTCTTCATCCAAATTAAATAAAACAATACAGCAATCAAAGACATACCAAAATAAAGTAATCTCAGTCACCTTCACGTCTTTCTCGAATTTCCCGTCATTCGAATTTTCTTCGGTAGGCCCAAATGTATTATTGATTAGCTCTGTATTATTTTGAATTTCAACCTACCATTAATGTGAAGTAGAATTGATAATGAAACAAATCCGCGCCAGTGAGCAGTTATAAACTGTCAAATTTTTCAACATTAGAACTGCAGCCACTGTATCGAGAGGTTTGCAATTCGTTGAGATATGCCAGTATTGTACCATGTGAACCCCTCTATGTTCGCCACGTCAGAAATCGCATCAATTTAATCGCTTTAATAGCAAAAATCAACTCACCAGTAGAAAGACTGAGGGCATGCCACCATGTAGATGTAGATCCCTCGGTAAATGTAGTGATACATGCGCAGTAAATGTTCAGATTCCCCTCTGTCTGAAGCGCCTAAACACTGCTCAAAGAAAAATTATTTTAAAGTTTTGACATCTGTGCAACAATTCCGTTTAACTCGAACTTAAATGTAGTTTTATGAGTTTTACGTTAACGCACTTGATTTAGTAGGAATTATCATATTCCGAATGTTTGTGATAATTTGAATTGGCTTTCGCTTAAAATTTATGATATATAAAATGTTTGTGCTGGAGATTGATTTCTAATCTCTACATTGATCTCTAATCAAAGCCAATTGATTGATTGATCTCTAATAAATGCGTCTTGTTGAACTGGTATTGCCATGACCGGCTGTTCCGTGAATTTTAAATCCTTTCCATCCAATTTTAGAGCTTGGCATTTGCATTTACATGCCCCTGTGCTCGTTGCGCTAGTTTACTTCGCGCTGTCTTGGGGAGAGACAATATCACCGCGCCGCTTTGAGGTCAAATTTTCACTTGGACTTGAGGGTCGCAATCTGAACAGCGTTTGATGTTAGTACCTAAATTAAACTAGGTACCGTCAAACGCAGGTCAGTTATTTGATGAGCTCTCTTTACTAACAGATTGTTGTCATCATGTTCTGATAAATATTTCCCGCCATCTTGACGAAATTCTCTTGAAAGGAGCAGTGACATGAGAAATGTTTAATGAAATTAACCAGGAAAGAATCTTCTTCGGAACTATTTCAATTAATTTCTGTCTCATGAAAGTTGGCGTGGGCTGAATTCACTAGAATTTAATTTGAAGCAAAATTAAGGTTGCGCAGGAGAGTGGGTTGGCAATGCCTTAATTTTTACATACCTTCATGACTGTGGCCAGAGTCTTGTATTCGTCTGACTCCGTAGGCATGTCCAAGAAAAATGTGAAAGCTTTGACATCCTTGAAAAAAAAAACAGAAAAATATTTACATTGCGTGTACACCACGATAAAGAAGACGTTAAGTGGCAACATTCACCATAATTTTAAACTTTTTTGATGGATAATTCAAGTAAATTTTCTAAAACAAGAAAAAATGTCTAAAACATTCATCATTAATAAATATTTCCTTATTCATGCCGAAGGAAAAATTGAGAAGAAGACATTTAGGCTCAACAAATCTCATGTAAATTAATGTTTATAAACTTACAGGGTGGCTGCTGAAGAGGACTGGGTCGCATGGATGGATTTTAGTGAGGTCAATTTTTGCCGACTTTTTTATCCGCGTGCGATGCGCCACATAATAACTGAGGCGGCGAGCGCTGAAGCGTCCAAATGTTCATTGTTTTGACAGGATTAGAACTAAGTCGGGTTTAATTAGCTTTATTAATTGTATCATATAAATATATTTGTAACTTCCAGTTCAGAAAAGTGTAAAGTAATTCAAAATGTGCCTCGTAGAAGAGGCGTTAAATTTGAAACAAAAATTCAATACAATCGTTAATTAAAAGTAATTAAATGTTATGATACGTACTCTTTTGATTATGGGAGGAATTAAGCGATTGTGGTCCTCTCGCATAATAGTGTAAATACTTGCTTACCTACGAATTAGTTTGGTAATGATATTATGGTAAATAATTAGCTCGACCTATTCTCACTACAAATAACAATACAATTATGACGCAACATAAGATTTTTATCTGGCATTTCGGAATTTTAAAGTAATGAGCTGACTAAACTTCATCCTTGACTCTGAGTTGACGCTGAAGCAAATACAGGGAACACTGCTATATACATTGGATGGTTCTAAAGTTTGCTCGTTACTGCAATACGACCGTAGCTAGAATTTGTTTTAGTTAGGAATTAGGGAGATATTCATGCTGATGGTTGTCAAATATTGTCTTTGCTCACAGACCCTCATTGTATTGCGCCTAACTCTTGAGAAGTTATTTAAAATTTGTTGGGGGCAGATAACACTGAAAGTAACACTATTCTAATTAATTCCAAAGTTTTAAAATTAAAAAACGTTGATGACGTTTATCGGGTTACTGTAAATTATACTGAGCACACTAATTTAGATTGATTGATCAATAAATAATTAAATAAATGATAAAAAGATATTAATTATATTCAAACTTAAATTTGTCAATTTAATTCAAATTCAAAAATCAATATTCACAAAATAAAATAATAATAACTCAGTAAAATAATAATAACAGTAAGAAGTCAAAAGTTTAATTATGAGAAAAATATTTGTACGCAATAAAGCAAATATGATCACCATTTAAAGTCTAATGAGCAAAAACTATTCGCGTATACAAAACCCCTTTGCAACTCTCACCTGGCAAGGTCGAGTGTGACGTTAGTAACGTTAGAATTGAAGGCCCGCGCGTCGTAGTAACGTTCTTGCTCGATGCCCGAGACGTGCACGCCACCTCCCCCCACGTGTCGGGTACGGGGCACCTCGGGAGCAAGGATGTGCCGTGACCCCAGCACCGCCGCCTTCAGGTAGTAGTCCCAGTCACTCGGCTGCAATATGAACTTTTTTCATGAATTCACTACCGTGTAATGTAAATTTAAAAATAATTTAGTTCAGGTCACTCGGCTGCAATATGAAGTTTTTTCATGAATTAAGTAATGCGAATTTGAAAATTATTCGGTCTCAGTCACTCGGCTGCAATATGAAGCTTTTTCATGAATTTAGCATTGTGAATTAAGCTTATTTCATCGTCAGTCCATTTATATAAAAATGGAATTTATAATTCCATTTTTATAATTCAGTCCCAGTCACTCGGCTGCAATATGAAGTTATTTCATGAATTCAGTACCGTGTAATGTGAATTTGAGTATAATTCAGTCCCAGTTACTTGGCTGTAATATGAAGTTCCTTCATGAATTCAGTACCGTGTAATGTGAATTTGAGTATAATTCAGTCCCAGTCACTCGGCTGCAATATGAAGTTCTTTCATGAATTCAGTACAGTGTAATGTGTATTTGAGAATAATTTAGTTCAAGTTACTCGTCTGTAATATGCAGTTTTTTCATGAATGCGCTTCAGTCAGTAGCTGTGGTGCGAATTCAATAAAAATATATAAGATCCAAGCACAAAATTATTCGCTCTCGCAATCACTCCGCGTAGATATCATCCCATTGACACGTACGGTTATAATACTCAATAAAGTTGAGTAGAAATTCCAGTCACAAGGTCTTAATACGTAATAAACTGACGTAGAAATATTAGTTACACGAAGAAATATTAGTTACACGACTATAGTACGCAATTGCCTTCGGAAGGAGCTTCGGGAATTTAGCTAAAATACGTAACTATTATGAACCAATTTCCCGGTGTTGCATTTGGCTCTCCTTCGTTTGCATTTACAGCGCGCAGTTCCTTTAAAGTTTAAGGGATTGCGGTTTGAATAGGGTTTTGTTCCGCCAACTCGTATTCAATGGGTTCAGTGTGGGATAAATTTCAATAATTAGCGTAATGTCTGCTATGTGCGTTGGTAATTTAGGTATTTATTTATAAATTTATATCCCCGTTTGATTAAAAATTTAAAGGCGAAAATTGGTGATGCATGGAAAAATTATTATGTCTGAAAAACATTTTTTAGGTGCGCGACCGTTTTATTGTAAGAAATTATACAAATTAAATATTATTAGAATCCTACATAATAGGCATGGAAATAGAAAATTTTATAGTGGCAAATTTTTCGCTCGAATTTTTCTGAATTTTTGACAAAAACGTAATCTCTTAACTTGCTCGCATTTACGCACGTGTATGTGTTTATTTTAACGGCTTAAATTACGCGTTGTGGTCCACGGTCAATTTCTTACTATTTAAATTTAATTCCCTACAAGGTTTGACATAGTCAAACATTTGTTTGACATAGTCAGCCGACCGTGTTGCAAGATTAATTCGAAAATAATTTTTTCGCCTAGTAATTCTCATTGACATTAATACAAATTATTATATTAATGTTTTTGTGGCAGCAATATTAAATTGTACTCAAACTCTGAGTCAATACTATCAGCATGGTCAAGTGGGTTCCGCCAGACTTCCGTCAACAACTTTTGGCGTGCGCAATAATTTTCTTGTCGGCTCCAATTAAAGAAAAATATATTTGTTGTTTGATCACTTGCTGTAGGGTCGTATTTTGCGTGGATAAATAGAACATATCAAAGGTTAAAGGGACTGTGAACTGTCATTGCTCAATTCCTCCAGTGAAATCACGGAGCCAGTGATGGATGTCTCAAACTGAATATTGTCTTTTACATTGAACTAGACTTACCAATGTCACATTCCGCGCAACTCACATTGAACTCGATTTACCAATGCAGCATTCCGCCCAACCCACATTGAACTCGACTTACTAATGCCACATGCCGTACAACTTACATTGTACTAGACTTGCCAATGCTGCATTCCATACAACTTACATTGTACTAGACTTGCCAATGTTGCATCCCGTACAACTTACATTGTACTAGACTTGCCAATGTTGCATTCCGCCCAACCCACATTGAACTCGACTTACCAATGCCACATCCCTTACAACTTACATTGTACTAGACTTGCCAATGTTGCATTCCATACAACTTACACTGTACTAGACTTGCCAATGTGGCATTTCATAGAACTTACATTGTACTAGACTTGCCAATGTTGCATTCCATACAACTTACTTTGTTCTAGACTTGCAAATGTTGCATCCCGTACAACTTACATTGAACTCAAGAGGCCAGTGATCAATTTCACGGATCTCTGTAGCGACAGCGGCCGTGATCATCCAGCCGTAGGCGGGTGGTCCCTGATGGCGCACGAGCCTGGTGAGGTCTCTGGCGGTGGTGGGGTACGCGTTGTAGTTGTAGGCGCTAACGCAGAACAGAAGCTCCGACCTGTCCTCCAGCAGCTGTGTTGTCTGCTCGAAATACCTAGGGGCGGGTATAGTGCATGGAAAATTGTACGTTGTACGTACTAATTATTGTACAATGGAGAACAATAAAATGTTGCTTAATTATAGCAATAGTAAAGAGGATATTTGAGTAGTTTTAAAGTGTGCACGGTGCATATGCGGGGATGGTGAGGGGAGTAAAATACTTTGCGTTACTTTTCAAACCTTGTTTAAAGAATGAATAATTTATCCATGAAATATTTCCGAATCTTCAACTGCATGCACTATTCATTAAGAGGAGAGGGGCCCTACCTCTAAAATAAAAAATTGACTTTTTTCTTTTGAGCTAAGTTTGTAGCTGCGGAAAATGCGCGTCTAACGCAGCAAGCAGCATGTATGCTCGCGTTTTTAGCACATTTTCTCATTTATGGAATAAATGCACTATTGTGCTCGCCATGTCCGTCTGTCCGTCCGTCTGTCTGTCTGTCTGTTCGTCCGTCCGTGACTTCACGTTTTCGTCGAAGAGAAAATGCGCTCTCTGTCACTCACTGCAGTGAGTACTGAGTTATATTTTTTTATTTGTGCGCAAGTTAGTTGAGAGTATATCACGGAGAACATTATTTAGCCACAATTAAATAATGCCCCCAATTTTAAAATAATCAAGAGGTTAAGTTAAAAAAGACATAAAGAACCCTTAATATGACCGAGCCACTTGGTCGATGACTCACGACATGAAGTCCGGTGCCAGCTGCAGGTCGTCCTCCAAGAGGATGGCGAATCTCACCGTCGGCACCTCAACGAAAACTTGCCATGCCGCGCGCTGAACCATCGCGTTCACCCGTGCCGCGCTGCCTGCCGGCCGTCCAGGTAACAATTATTATTGCCTAGGGTGGTTAGGTTTATTCTCGAGTAAAGCGAGATTAATGCAGAAAGTTGGCCAGATTAAAACTGTGGGATGGAGCGAGATTATTCAAAGAGTAGGTCAAATTAGTAGGTCAAGGCTGGCTAGGTTTACTCTCGAGTAAAGTGAGATTAATGCAGAAAGTTGGCCAGATTAAAACTGTGGGAAGGAGCGAGATTATTCAAAGAGTAGGCCAAATTGATTGTCGAATGAAGTCCGATTAATGTAGAATGTAAGCCAGATTTATTGCGGCATGGAGCGATATTGTAGGCCAGATTAACTGTCTAATGGAATGAGGGTAATGCCGACGATGGGCCAGATCACATGATGGCTGCAGTTTAGATTAACTGCTAATTTTAAGACATTAAAAAATGAATGAACTGTGATTAATTGCGTAGTGTTAATTACATTATGACCTGCCGAGTATAGGAGCGATCAACAGCCGGGTGTTGGCTAAATTTAATACGGGGTGTAAGGCAGATTAACAGCCTAGTGCATGCCAGATGAACTACCGACGAGATTTGAACTGCCGAGAAAATGCCAGATTAACTGCCCAATGGAGGCCATATTATCGTTTGCCCAGCGTTTTCTAAATATGAACTGCAAAGTTCAGGCAGGTTATATGTCGAGTGCAAGACAGATTAAAGATTAAATTCAGCCATGAGTGTAGGCCAGCTATTTATATGACTACAGGCTAAACTTACTGCAGAGGATGTTGTGATATATGGCAGAGAGTAGGGAAGGCTTTACAATGATTTTTATTTTGATATTTAAACGAAAAATAGCTCTGGGTGACATATATGATATCTATTGGTAGAGAAGTAATTGGGCAACATAATTGTCTATTTATTGCTGAAGATGGGCGGGTAAACTGCAGACGAGTCGGTGCAAGTGGAATCTTCACAAACGGTGAAAGTTGATTGCGGTCAAAAGTTTTTGAACATATGAAATGAATAAAAAAGTGAATTTTGATCTAATGCTACACCAGTTCTAGTTCTAAGATATATCTCTGCTTGAAAAAATATTAGTAACGATTTTTATGTCATACAATTATTTTAAAATTTCTAAAATAATATGCGCGGGTTAGATTCTCTCGTTATTTTCCAAAAAGATGAAAACTTTTCTAACTTTTTTATATTAAATCAATATCGCTGCTCATCTGTCTCTCAGATCTTAGCGCAGATTTTCTGTTAGTGTGTATTAAATATTATTAGTGTGTTATAATATTGGTATGTAATAAATATTATATTATTATAATACACTGTAAAGCGCAGCCTGATGGACTTGCTCTTCTTGCTGAGCGTCCACCATATTATTATAGCGATGTTTCATTATCTCACGCCTCGAGAAATGTTTTTGTTAATTAAATCTCGTCTAATTGCAATTAAAATCTCATCGGTGTAATGCACCGCTGAAATTGTAAGCACGAACAGCGCACAGTTGAATTCATTCTGGTGCATCCATCCATATTTCTTACGAATGTTTCAAAATGTATCATGAAAAATATTAGTGGGACATGATAAATATTATTATTAGTCGTCGTCTTCAACCGCGTGGAGGTTTTGATAAACATGCAACGCTTCCAAAAAAAAGCCTTTAATCAACGCTCACCTTTTTTGAATGGCATGTTGGGGTAGACGTTGACGGTAATGTTTATTAACCGAGCGAAGTTTTCAGCCTCTGTGTTCGGTGAGTCTGTGAACATGACTACAGGCACGGAGTGGCCACCGGGACTTGCACGAATTATGCGCAACTGATCTAGAGTTCTCGACAGTCGGCCACCGCCGATTAGAGCCACGGCAATTGCTGGCCTTGAGATGATCTTTTCCTGGAAATTGAATTGAAAATCTCGTTGAATCAAAATCACAGGGTTGTAATGAATGATAGCCGTACGGCTTTGTTACTTACTCATAATAATATTCATGTTGTTCTCATATATGTGAACATTGACGGATTCGGTATTCTACGTAATTTTTATTCAACTTGCGAATGTTTGGTTTGAGATTTACCGAAATTATTCGATCTCTATCTGACGAGATATTTGAAGACATATAAGTTGGAATAAATATATCCTTATGTCATTAGTCGGGTTGAGTCACAAGTTCACCAAAAATTTAAACGCAATGATGATTCCAAATAAATTCATTATATCATCGAAACCATTGCGGAGATGATGGTGGAGCAGGTCTCTGAAACGTTTTCAATGAATATCCAGCGTTTTCTTTGTGCTTAAGTTTTTTGATTTAGCAACTATGGAAAAACGAAAAATTGAAAACCTGCATCTGAAGAGGTTGTAGCTGCTGGAGGAGAAGTGTGGAGGAGGCGTTGCAGGTGCAGAACTCGCCGTGCCCTTCGTATAGTTCACAAAAAATTCTATGTTCACCCTGTAGCGCGTCACGACCGCTACACCTGCCTGCAGACACGACAATATTACATGATCCAGATTCTGCTTTTTAGAATTTCCTAGGAATCTGTTTTTACAGAAAGAAAATAATTTCCCAGAACCGTTTTCTAGAAGATATCGGGAATTTTTGTGAATTTTTCTAAATAGTATTATATTTTATAGATTTCCTACAATTTTTAATTATTGAGAATAAATAATATCTCACTCAAACTTAAAAATTCGTCGTTTCCTTAATAAAATGAACGAAAAACCAATTGTAGTCAACTGAGAGATATTGTTCTTATTTCTTGTATAAAATGTGTTGTGAAACCTTGGTCGATGCCCCAGTGGTAACTTATTTAGACTTTAAAATGGCGATGCACTCTTTACTCTATAGTGTTGGTCATTCTGACCCTGTTTGGCCCGTCAGAAGAGAGTAAGGACGGGTTCACACCATACTGCCGGGCACGTGCCAGGCAAATGCCAGTCACGGCCCCATTAATTATTCTTTAAAACACTTTTGGGGCGTGATTTTGTTGGCTCACAGCCGACGTTTCACACCCCCAAGATTCCCAGAGTCTTGTCACATTTCTCGCCAAATCAGAATTTTGGGGTCACTTTTCTGACGGCATGATTTTGTCGGCGCAGACACGACAACTTTAATGCATTTCGATTGAAGCATTCGTAGTACCAGCCGTGCAAGGCACCTGCCATGCCCATAGTGTGAATGCTTACATGGAAATATATTAAAGACTATCAGACAGGACCGGGACTGACATAGGCCTGGCATGTGCCCGGCAGTGTGGTGTGATGCCGGCCTGACAGTGGTATGTATGTCTGCTCTTGATGTGGATATGACAATGTATCACCAAAAAGAACATTATGAACGATTCAATTTTCTCAGTGGTCCAAGCGTTTGCAGTTTCTTCCCCATGTCATGCGCTCTGCGCGTCAAGCTGTTTACCCAGAATCAATGGGTTCTGAGAAATCGTTCTCAAGCTTCATATTGTGTATTTTGATGAATTTTTTCCATTCCTTTGTTTTATTAGCTTTTACAATATGTAGCAGGTATATGAGTTTCTTATTATTCGTTCAATTCCATTTTTAAATTTTGGAGTCACTTCTAAATTTCGAAGAATTTTCTTTGGACGGCCAATATTGCAAAAATTGCTATTGTTTGTTTCCATAAAAGCTCTAAGCTATCTTTAATTGGTTACTGCTGAAAGTTGTTATAAAAGGTGCTTTCTTAGCCATGTTAGTTGAAGACCATGATGATTAATTACCATGTTTCGAAGATGGGATGGCGAGATCGAAGATCATTGGTGGTCCGTCCCATCTGGTTGAGTTGCCTCCCGCCTGAGTACTCAGGTTCAGATACTTGATCCTCGCCCCTTCTGAGATCACCGATCCTCCTGATCTTGTCACGAGCACGTAGCTATCGTACTCCACCAGGCGATCAATGATCAGTGATCCCCAGTGTAGAGTCAACTCTTTTATCGCCTCCACTGATAAGTAATGTACGAACTCAGGCTGCAAAAAAAAGCCCGATGTTATTCAGAACGAAGCTGAAGAAATAGCCAAGTAGCAAGGGGTCACAAAGAAGCAAATAATATGCATATAATAATGGCCTTAAGCTCGAAAATTGGATGTACAACTTCTAGCTCTTCGTATGAAAGATAACGTGGATCTTACACTAAAATTAAAAATGTTTTGTTTTTATTCAACTACTAGCATTAGGAACATTTAGGTAGGCTCACAAATTGTTTAAACTGAAATTTTGTAATTGTCAACTGACGTAGAAGCTTAAATAAATTATTTTAATGAAAATATTTTGAATCTTCTTGAATGATGACAGCACCAATATAATTATTTAGGTATAATTCAATCCACGGAGTATGAATTCTTAATATAATCATTTTTCAAACGAATAAAAATGTTGTCTCACAGCACCGACGATGATAATAATTCTGCCTGGATTTATCATCTTGAGTTCCCTGACGAGTTCTTTAGCGCTGGCTCGCTGCCACGTCATCAGCTTCACGGTCTTCAGTAGTCGTCCCGTGGCTGCGTCCAGCGCCAGCACGTGAGCTCCAGCGTGCAGCCGCGTCATGCGCGTACCCCATGGCATGAACTCGCGCCAACTCTCGTACATCTGGCAGCGAGGGTAAATAAATCTTATAGTCAAGCTATGAGGCATGCCTAGAACTCACGCCAACTCTCGTACATCTGGCAGCGAGGGTAAATAAATCTTATAGTTAAACTAAACGGCATGCCTAGAACTCGCGCCAACTCTCGTACGTCTGGCAGCGAAGGTAAATAAATTTTATAGTTTAGCTATGCGTCATGCCTAGGTCTAGCGCCAATTCTCGTACATCTGGTAGCGAGGGTAAATAAATCTTATAGTTAAGTTATGAGGCATGCCTAGAACTCGCGAACACTCTCTTACGTCTGGCAGCGAGGGTAATAAATCTTATAGTTAAGTTACGATGCATGCCTAAAACTCGCGCCAACTCTCGTACATCTGACAGCGAGGGTAAATAAATTTTATAGTTTAGCTATGCGGCATGCCTAGAAATATCTCTAATTCTCGTAACTATAACGAGATTTAACTACAACTATAAAATTTATTACTCCCGCTGCCAGACGGCAGCGAGGGTAATAAATCTTATAATTAAGCTATGCGGCATGCCTAGAACTCGCGCCAATTCTCGTACGTATGGCAGCGATGGTAAATAAATCTTATATCAAGCTATACGGCATGCCTAGAACTCGCGCCAATTCTCGTACGTCTGGTAGGAAAGACAAATGAATCTATTAAATAACTATATTGCATGCTTAGAACTCTCGGCAACTCCTGTACGTATGACTGCATGGACAGTTCAATCCGACAGGTTATTCTGATCTGTATTTCCAAGTTCATTATAAGAAAAATTTTCAAGTTCGCGTTGAGTTAATGGTATCCTTTACTTAAGAAATCATTTCATATCCTAAATAAGTACAATAAAGATTGATTGAGGCATTGTGCACGAAGGTATCACAAAAATTTCATAAATTTCGCGCAATTGATTTTGAATTTTCCTCATTTTGTTTGCGGTTTGGCGGTGCCATGAATCTCATTATTAGTTGTTCTTAAATATATGATCTGTCCACAATTGTAAAGAAAAATTTTCACACAATTTGTATACTCCTTATGATTCATTTCCTCCCAAATATTTAGGAAAGAAAAATGAAATTGAAAAGTCGTACAAAATTACTTCAGCTGCGGCCTCTATGTTTTTCACAAAACACTGTGAGAACTTGCCATCGATTGAGAGGCCGTCTGTCCATATAGAAGTCTATCATACGTCTGTTACTTCTGGGACGAAAATTAGGTATATAAAGAAAAATGACGTGTGTGAATCTTCTCACCTTCTCACCATTTATGTGAACGACAACCCCGTCCTTGCTCACGAATATCCTGAGATGGATGTATCCTTCAGTATCCTTGGGAGGGCTGGAGTGTGTCAAGGTGTTCCCCAAGTTGTCTGGCGCTACCACCATCCTCGGCGGCCGATGAAAAATCTTATTACTGAAAATCTGGAATCGTTCAATCTCTTTCTCGTTAATCATCATTATTGATGATGGGGATTTTAATTCATCTTGATTCTTATTAACCATCTCACTCTTAACTACCGTCAACTCATTTTTGCGAGGCGATGCGCTTTCTGCTCCAAGTTGCATGGTCGTTTGTCGCCTAAATTTCGGTATGCCCAAAAATGGATGGTCGAAGTCCATTTTATTGGTAGTTTTCTCTTTCTGTGAGTTTAAGTGTAATTTTTGCGAACCATTGTCGTTTCGGGCAATGTTTCCTGAAAGATTAGTTTTCCAATTTAATTTTGTGTTGAAGTTATCTCTCGAGAAATTAGCCTCTGGTGATTTTAAATCTTCCGAAAATTTATAACCAATCTCACTCACGTCTTCATTAGATAAAATTTCACTATCCTTTAGCTCCTCTTTTCTCTGCAAAAGCCGCTTCCCTGCAGCTACGTTTCTTTTCCCAATGCCCGGAAGTAGCCTATGTTGTGTCAACAGCGGCATCGTGTCCCGTGTTTTCTCTTTGAACGGATGTATTGCCGATACCTTCATCATTTTTTGCCCGGCGAATTGTGCTTGTGATGCGGATGGCGTGTCCTCGTCCAGCGCGGCGTCATGGCGCTTAACTCTCTTCAGGATAGGCATGTCCCTGCCGGCACTCAGCTTATCTGCTCAGCGACTCAAGATTTTACTTATTTAAGACAATGTATTGCTTGTAGATAGAAAATATGACACAGTTACTCGAACTCATCTGTGAAAAATTCAACTGCAAGTCCAGAGATTTTTTTTGTTGTTTATAGTGAACGCCTACATTATTTGTGCGTTAATTCAAACTCTTCCATTTTTTGGTATTTCGGTCATGTTTAGAAGATGAACACTCAAGGAGACGAAATGGGCATAAGCGTTATAGTTAATTCTCAGTCGAGTTCTCTACGGTGTCACAAAAACCTAACGTTTAGTTTGTTGCAATGTTTCATAATTCAAAATTTAATAATTCAAAATTTAGTTCAATGCATGTCTCATAAATATAACATTAGCAAACAAATTTAGTAAGTTCTAGGAAGTTATCGCTTCATCCTGGACTCGTACCGATCAGTTGCCAGTCAAATACAACTGGATTCACATGTGTTGCATTGCCTTCATGTTGGAAGCCTTCGAGTGTGCTTGAGTTACTTAATTGATCAATCGGCGTTGTCGTCTTTGCTTCATTAGTTTCATGGAATATTTGATTGAATTGCTTCACTTCAGCTATCAAACTGTTAGTAGTTTCGGGTTTTCCACCATGGAAGTTGAAATTGTCGACCCTAGCGGCAGTTGCTGCTCCCATCACCACAAGAAATATTGTTAATCTCCAAAACCACATCTCAAATCAGTGGTTATTTGTACACGACTTTTATTAAATGTAATTAATATTACAGTTGACGATAAAGTCGACGCTTCACGTTTGTCTGCAATACCGAAACCCGTGATTGTTTTTATTACAGAGAAACGTGTGTTGATCTACTTTTTAGCTATACTGCATTTGTTCATAATTAGGATATTTATTATTTACGTCATTGTTTGTTCTATCAAATTTTGAAGTGATATATTATCCTAAAATTTTATTATATTCTTATTCAAATAACATGTACGAACTCATTGTCACTGTTTAAAGATTTTAACTGCATGCAAAATCTATCATAACTGCAAAAATCTATATTTAACTGCAAAAATCTATCATACGCTTTTCCTGGGACATAATAATCAATAAGAAACGATTCATATTAAACTTGTGCAGGTTAATTCTGAAACAAACGAGGCAAATAAATGTACGATCACTCATTCACACATTTTCACAATTTTGATAGTTTCACGATCACTGTAAAATTTAACTTTTTCTGTGCACATTATTCATGAAGTGATCCCAACACTGATTCACAAGAAAGTTTTCATAATCGAAAGTTTGATGGAAAACTGAGAAAGCAGCAATAATTTCATTTTAAAACAAATGTTGCTGCTGTTTATCAACGTGCACTGTTAGAAAAATTACCGTTAACGGTATTACCGTCGTTTCAGTGGCCGGTCGGCACGTGAAAAGAAACATCGTGTCACCGTTTTTATTCTAATTTAACACTCGAAATCCGTAAAACATCTGATAAAAACGGCGAAACAGTTCATTTTCACGGGGCGACCGGCCACTAGAACGCCAGTGAGACCGTTTTTTCTACCAACGTGCGGTTGACCGCGATGCTTACGACCAACCTCTGCGTTCTGATGATCGAGGAAGTCTTACTCCGTATTTAGTTACATCACATTTTCCTTGTTAATAAACTGTAAGTTTTCCCTCATGGGCTTTATCTCAGTCTTTTTTATTTACTGTAATGCGAAACATACACTATTATAATTCTTTCTTATTGATAGATTCTACTTCTCTGAAAAATTTTCATTATGCAAACTTTAAGGTATTTCAACAACTAATTTTTGTTTTCATTTCATTTTGGTTACTGTCCTGCGATTTCGAAAAATATTCATAGCTTCGTAAACTACAAATTTTTAGAATTATTAAAATACATTTTCGAAGAAAAAAGTATTACCGAATCATTACGGAGAAGGTGATGCTCAAAAAAAAAACTTATTTTTTTTTAAGCGGAAAACTCTTTGCGAACAACAGTCAGAATAGAAAGATTCCCTTATTGGCGCTTGTTTCTAGTGAATTTTACCTATATATTCACTAAAAATTAATGCATCATTGAACCAAATTTAATATTAAGGCAATTGCAGAAACTTTATTATAGCAGAACATTTACCTTCATTTGCATTGGCTTGTTTTTTGCTTCTCTGAACAACCGGCGACGACGTCGCTTAGCATATTCATGCCGCGCGACACGCGAAATGGAAAGATGTAATTTTATTCAGAATAATATACTAATAATATTCTACTGACTATGATAAACGTGATCGATGGTATACTGACGATGATAAACGTGATCGATGGTATGCTGACTATGATAAACGTGATCGATGGTATACTGACTATTATAAACGTGATCGATGGTATACTGAGAAAGATAAACGTGATCGATGGTATACTGACTATTATAAACGTGATCGATGGTATACTGAGAAAGATAAACGTGATCTATGGTATACTGACTATTATAAACGTGATCGATGGTATACTGAGAAAGATAAACGTGATCTATGGTATACTGACTATGATAAACGTGAGCGATGGTATACTGATTATGATAACGTAATCGATGCTATACTGACTATATGATAAACGTAATCGATGGTATACTGATAATGAAAAACGTGATCGATTCGGTTTGCAAGTGATATTTTCGTCTTGGAAGGGGAATTGATATTTTTTTCCAAGCTTTGATTGAGAATTTTTTTTTGTATGCGTTTGTTTGAGTCAAGTTTATCAAAACTGTAACATTTGTGTTTAAATTTTGAAGATGTATTCAATTTTCCCTGTGTAATTGCGTTATATTTCAATAATCCAACATGTTGGTAAAAATATAGCGTTTATTGCATATGATTACAATCTATTCTAAATTTCATTCGTAATTTGCTAGAAACAACATTGATATTCCACGTCCACAGTAGTATAGTCCTAGCAGCAGGTTACAGAAAATCCGCTGAGTCACCTCTGCTATCAGCAGCACTAAGTGCACTAGTCAGCTGCAGTAACAACAGCTGCAGGTGCACCAGTCAGCTGCAGTAACAACAGCTGCAGGTGCACCAGTCAGCTGCAGTAACAACAGACAGCAGGTGCAGGTGCACCAGTCAGCTGCAGTAACAACAGCTGCAGGTGCACCAGTCAGCTGCAGTAACAACAGCTGCAGGTGCACCAGTCAGCTGCAGGTGCACCAGTCAGCTGCAGTAACAGCAGCTGCAGGTGCACCAGTCAGCTGCAGTAACAGCAGCTGCAGGTGCACCTGGCTGCTGCAGAACTAAAGTCTGGAAAGTTTTAATAGGCCTCAACCGCAGACTGCCTCCAGTCTTTGAATCATCTAATTCTCCAGCCAACGAATTCCTCCACAAACCAAGTTAAAATACTTTTTCCAAAATTATTTAGAAAACATTTTTGTTTAACCACTGCCACAAGTTTTCACCATTTTAAATCTGACGAATCTTTGAAGGACTACGTTTTGCAAACTTGTATAGCGTTCACATTCCTAGGATAATTTTGAAGTTAATGTTATGAAAGTAGTCTTTTTGTTATACAATTATTGTTTTATAATTTATTACGCACTTGGTTTGACCCTTCAGATACAACAAGAGAAATAAAGTTAACTATTGTTAAACGCCCTGACTGAAATTAACTCGGAAAGTACTGCACATGAACAATACTTATACGATCATAAAAAGTATTTCAATTCAATGAATAATTTATTAATTTAACTCGGAAAGTAAAAAGTTAAAGGCTGTTCCCGAACATTGGTTAAGTAAAATTCCTCCTCAGGAGCCTGGGGCGCCACCCGCCATCTGATCTTCCCCATCTCGCTGATATCTTGGGGCTGGAGGTGGTGGGAAGCTAATATGATGTCCTCTTTTGTTGGGGTGTACCACTGCTCTGGCGCTGATAAACTGTCAACCAGATAACCGACACATACCCCCAATCATTAATAATCTACGACGTACAACAAATAAAACATATACATTTACAAAACATATACAATACATATACAATACATTAACAAACACACATCAATCAAATTTACTGTAAACAATACACAAACATACTAAATACGTGCCCGCGCACATCTCTCTCAACACTCGTCACTCCTATCTATATACTTACTTCCATACAAAATTTCAACAAACAAAATAACACACCTAACAAACACCGGCCGTGTATTCTCAAAACTCATTTATAATACTCCCCTTGTTTATCACCAAACTCGCACAACATCACATTACATAACTTATTATAACATAACATTTAATAACATTCCATACCACAGCTAAACACAACGTAATGTAAAGAAAACCTCACCTTCGGCGCGAAGGCGGGTTATAAGACTATGCTTTCTTGTTCAATTTCGCGGGCTTAGCCCGCGAAATAAGTTCGATTTCGGCGCACTGAACAAGTTCAACAGATTGTATTATTAAATACTAAGTCTCGATTGGGAAATCAATTGGGAAGAAATACTTATGACTAGTTTGATAAATTTATTTTCATAGCTTTTGTTAAATGGAATTGTTTGTAAATACTGGTTATTAATATAATAAATAGCATTATAGGTACGAAGACACTGGGCTTTCGAGTTTCCAATCGGTAATAGAATTAAAAAATTCTCAGTCCCACGGTGACATGGGAGTCGCTCAAAGAAGTGTTTTTGTTCTCTTTCACCAAGATATTTATAGTTTGCAAAATACTTTGCTTGTTATTAAATCTATTATTCACCTAGTCTTGCAACGATTTCATCTTCAGGGCACGTATAAAACAATTCACTTTTAAACGAAGTGAAGAATTGGATAGTTCGTTCTATTCACTTCCATGTAAATAGTTAGAGTTAGTAGTTTGTTTTATTTAATTTTGAGTGGATAGTTGAAGTGAATTTTACGTTCTATTCACTTCCAAGTTAATAATGGAATTGAATAGTTAGTCCATTTAATGGACCAGAGGTATCATGAGTGCTCCTAGTCTGCAGGATTTAGCGTCGTGACAGCGTTCAGATTTTAACTTTGATCTTAACGTTGTTTCTATTATCTCTGCCACTTCTTTACAATTAATAATTTTGGAAACTTACGAATAAAATTTAATCTTAAATAACTCATTTACACTGTTTATAGTAATGACGCTGCAAATTATGCTTATGCAGCAACTATAATTCCCTGTAGTATTGACGCAACAACGGCTTTGTGTCGTGGATTCAAAGCGTTTAAATTTTAATGCAATTATGCTACGTAGTTATTTCTGTTTGTTGTGCGAGTTATCGTTATAATGGGCATTGAGTTCTGAGCTGGGTTATTGTGGAGGGAGATTACACTGCTCTTATTATTGATGGTAACAAACCTGTTATGAAACGAACTTTTGTGACATTTTCTGGCATTTTTCTTTCTCAAGTTAGCTGGATATTTTTAAAGTAATGAGGCTTTTTATAATGCTGCTGGAAAGCAGAGTGGATAATTTTGTATTTGACTAAGGATTGCTCTAGGGTAAAATTTAACGCCTTCGGACAAAATTGATTTGTAATTTTTAACGGTGAGTTATGCCTAGAATAAGCTACCTTCAATGACACATAAGTCGCCACTCGGCAGACGCTGCACATACATCGCCGATCGTCACTAAAACCAGTGTAATATTAGTCAGAACTACGATTTGTAGGGTTCGATAACCTCACGATGACTACAAATCTGTTTGATCGTGATAGAAAGATGTAGTTAGTTTCGTTTATAAAATACATCGTTACTATTGAAGGCCGCCGACTAAAGTGCTGTGGCGACGTTATCGGCATTGACGGGACGTTACTAAAATATGAGTTTCGATGGATATCTGTCAATGAGTAATCAAAGCGATTAGCTATCATTATAATCAGAGATTATTCCTATGCTGGAAACACGATTGGAGTTTCAGGAAATATCCCTACACGACATGTATTCTGGACGCGCCCGAAGCACCCTAATATATTTCCTCTGCAAGGCTACAAGCACACAAATTATCGATCAGGAAACTTGTGACGGGTGAAACAGAGAATGCAGTTATTTAAGGCCATGCAGGATCGGTATGTGAATGAGACTCACCAATAAGGAGAGACCGGACAGCCGACGATGTAGAAGACCGTGCCATGGTAGCGTAGACGCCAGACGTACTCGTAGTGCTCGTGCAACTCACTGGCGTACAGCCCCAGACACTGCACCAGCAGCAGACAATGCAGTATAGTAAAAAATTTTACAAATAGTGACACATTTTCCAACTTATGACGCATTTTCCGACTTGTGACTCACTTTCCGATTTGTGACTCACTTTCCAACTTCTGACTCACTTTTCGACTTGTGACTCACTATCCGACTTGTGATTCACTTTCCGACTTGTGACTCACTCTCCGACTTGCGAGTCACTTGCTGACTTGTGACTCACTTCCCTACTTGTGACTCACTTCCCTACTTGTGACTCACTTTCCGACTTGTGACTCGCTTACTTACCCAAGCGTGAGCAGTAAAGCGCCATCTAATTTGCCAGGCCAAACTGGGTCAGCATGACCCAGGGCAATAAGTATATCGCTATTAGGATAATGTCTCGCTTGTTTCTCTGAGTGTTGGAATGTATCAGTGGGTGTCAATCTGTGCTGTAATTCGATGGAGGAAACAGTAACAAGAATGTTAAGGTATATTAAAGCCTATGAAATGAAGGATGAAAGCGTCATCGACACATGTTGCATTATTGTACCAAGATTTGACTCAAGAAGTACATCACATTTTCAAATAGATCGAAATATTAATTCGTACCAATTGGACCCTGATGGTTTTTGTCCAACCAATTTCTCCGATTTAATTTTCTATACCTAGCTAGGCTGCCTGCCATGCAGAATACGAGGCAACGTCAGATTATGAGGCCTATATAAGGAAACTTGAGTTACCATACGTATGTATGTATGCGTTATGTATAAAAAACAGGTTTCGACTTATAAAATATGTTAATTTCAGAAGAAATGTTCATATGCCGTCAGTAATGTGGCCCAGATATTTATAGTCTTGGAGAGGATATTATTGTCACAGAGTTTTATTAAATGCCCCAGCGTTCACCAGAATGGGTGACAAGCCAAACTAGGCGGATTCTTCACGCCGAAACTATAATATATTATGCTACTATAGAAATTACCTGTTGTCGCAACTCTTCTTAATACGTTATGTGTGGTTATTCTTATTAATTATGTAGTGAATTACGTAATTCGACATTTAAGTTGGAGATGGTGAATTCGATCAGTTGTATAGTGACACTGACCAGTGTATATATATATATATATAGCGGTGGTACCGTTTATTAGGCCGTAGGCCTGTCGCCGATTCTTAACATTACAGAACATTCACAGCATTTTGCGGTCTCGAACTCGCAACTCACTGCTACAATTCTTCTTTGCTTAACCGCCCGGCCTCCTTGCCGATTCTGACCAGAAACTGGCGCACAGAGCTGGGATCGAACCCGCGCCTCTCTGCGCCAATCTTGGTACTCTGAACTGTAACTACTGGGCCACCAGTATCTTCTAACATTAATTATCTTGAAATTGAAGATGATTAATGTATTCTTTTATTACGTAAATATTCATTCACTTACTTTTGCAACGACGAAGAATGATTTTGTTTCGTCCATGTCTCCGTCTGCTGTTATGAATATGACGTACGAAGTGTTCTGTGGGGTGCAAGCTGCTTTTAAAGTGGTTCTCTTCAAAGTTCAGACCTGCACTATATTATTCATTGAATTGAAATACTTTTTATGATCGTAAAAGTATTGTTCAACAATAAGTTGATCATTTAATTATTGTGAGTGTTCTAATAATAAAATTTCAGTTCATTTGCCAATTATTCATAAAATTTTCTTACTTTTATATGGTAATCTTCATAAAAATTCAGCTCATCAGTTGGTTACTAATGAAATTGTTGTATTTGTTGTAAGTTAGTAGCCATAAATGTTCCGTTAATCAGTTTTTTACTTATCTAATTGTTGAATTTTTTTGTCAGTTAATTTTCATAGAAGTTCAATCCATCTGTAAACTTTTCATCAAATTCATGTATATATAATCAATATTACTTTATTATTATTTATTTTCGTATTATCGCCTTGCTGTCCGCACGAGACAGAATGTAATCTTTGGGAGAGTCACTTTTTCATGTTATAAGGGAAAACTCAATGTTTTTAATGCATTTTGTACGTGAAAATATTTCCAGGCAAGAAAGCATCATCTCATTTTTATGCGCTTTCTGAGAAAATCTACTTGATTATCTGACTCGAGCACATTCCCCAGATGTTTGACTTAGGATGAAATTACTTTATAATATGATTCGAATAAATATTATTAATAAGTAATTAATATTAATATTGATCAGATGATCGTACTCGAACACTTTCACCCCATCTTTGATGACAATAACTTGATATACAATTGCGATAACATTTACTTTAAGATTTAAATGCAGATAGCACACTTACCTTATGTTGTGGTATAGGCTTATACCGGCACGGGTGTTGTGATATGTCAACCACAGTGGACGCATTGAGGCTGAGGGCAAGGTCGATGTCGTACGCGAGCTCCCACGTACGTGCCAGACGTAGTTGCACGTCTGGCAGGCTGTTCAACGGCCTTCTGTTGTAGCTGCTCTCTTGCACTTCAGCTGTGTACGTATTGAATCAGTTAGATTTTTGAAAAAAACTTCTCTGAAATTCTTAACAGTAAAGAAGAAGAATCCATCCTTATGTGGCTGCATATAAAAACCGCCCATTCCCAAATAAAAATTGAGAGTGGAGCACCTATGTTTTTATGGTGGCTATCGGCGGACCCCATAGGTGGAGCTTATATGATTTATACAGTGAATTAAGGGTGGCGTGCACCACCTATCCCACACCTATAACCTGCCAATGGCCACCACACCCGTAAAGCTCTTCGTACATCAATAACTACCCATTGGCACCGGTGGCGCATCAATGAGCCACCAGTGGCCACCTTTAGAATGAATTCAATAAAAAATTTTCCTTTAGTTTCAAATCCGATGCTTCTGCATTTACTGATATTGCATCACCCAATCACCATTCTAAGTGCTACGTATGCAAATCTACCATGGCAGTACAAGTAACAATGTCAGACATGTAGCAGGAACATATAATCAGAGTACCATACACATACCTCGTGAGAAATCGACTTGAATAAGTCCCTGCCTGCAGGATTCGAACTCCGGTCTCCCGCACGCGAAGCAGAGCCTCTACCGTTGCGCCATCGGAGAGGGCATGGCAGTCGAGTAATTTTAAAAGATTTAACTGAAGTATTGCAAATATTAATTTCATCAAATAAGCAAAGTTAATGCTACCACCGTGATGATTAGATGGCTTCATCACCAATTTTATTTGAAAATGCTACTACATTCGAGTAAACACCCGCTGAAAGAAACTTCATTTATTCGTAACGAACGATGGTTCAGCTCAGAGTAAAGGCTACGGGAAAATGCTTAATAAGTATAGAAGTTCATAATGTCAACATTACACCAATTTTGACAGCGGCTTAATTTGATATATTTTCACCAAGAATATTCTGACGTGAAGTAAGGAATTGATTTTACACGATTATTTGAAATATCAGACGTGAACTACCTGCACCACTAAGCAAATTACCCGGAAAGCACGTTTCAAGCAGGACTAGGTAAAGATTAGTTGGAAGCTCAACGTCAACGCGGGTCAAGCCAACCGGTATGAACGTGTGCTTACTCACACGTCGCTCTCTAGCTCGCTCTCTGCCCATGATGCCGAGCCGCTGTGCTTTACAAGGAAGAGGAGCCGCTGTTGACTACGTCAACGTGCCTTTTGAGTTTAGATAAATGGGACAACTTGAGAATATTGTAAATATAATGGAACACACTTAATCGACCCATACAATTCATACTTAATAATAGACTAAGTAGTCTCAATTGATCGCAATATTTCCAAGATTCCAACATAGCCAGTTGGTGCATACGCAAAATTCTTAATAAATTTACGCAACATTTCAGGTGAACATGAAAAATTGGATTCGCCGTCATGTATGGAAAAACTGTATTTATTGCAATCAAATTTTTTCATTGTTCCTCGGACAATTATATCAGGAACAGGAACATGCCCAGTGTCTCCACTTTGACTCAATAATTTTGTGAACACCTTGCTTCTCTGTCAGCTTTATTGGTGCCTACCTAATTCACGCAAAATTTTCTTAACATAACTAATTCTTAAAAGCCAAGAACACAAAACGAAGTCATGGTTTCGTCTTGATCTCGAATGACCCGCAATCCGATAACACCTTTCTACGTTGGATAAATTACTGTGGCAAATACCTTCGTGCATTGTGTAGGCAAACGGTTTTCAGTGGCTTAAAAGAGATTTGCCTGCAATGTGCTATCGATTATTCAGACCTTACAAATCAGCTATGTTTCATAGATGACTGCCTCCTTTACTCGCCACCCTTTCGATTTATTGATGTTTTATTGTCGATTTTTGGAAAATCTGGCCACTCACTGTTACGCCACCTATAAACTACTATCGCCACCTATAATCATCGGTGCACCACCCTTAATTTTTATTTGGGTTGGGCAGAGGAGTTTTCTTATTGTAATGTCTAAGAAATAACTTGTATTTTATTGTAATTTCCAGCCTAATATTAGTTCTCCATTGCGTATTCAACTTGATATCTCGTGTAGTTAATTCTCTAGTGGATAAAAATAAGTCCTAGAATGATTGAGTTACCAGACACGTGGACGCCAGGACCGCGCAGGTGTTTAGTGCGCGGGACCTCAGGCAGAATTGTTCTCCGCTTGCCCACTAGATGAACTTTAATGTACAAGTCCCAGTCGCCTTCCTATTATTAATAATCATCATTATTCGTCACTAAGGAACACACATCTTTGATTAATTCAGTCAAGGGATATATTAGAAGTTCTCAGTCGCCTTCTAAGCATGATTATTTTTCGTCAGAAACGAATGAAGATTCATGACTAAGAAATTTTCGGCTAAGAAATTTTTTTATCCTACGAGAGGCTAAGCAGTTTTCTAGATAGAATCAACGTCGCATGCTTTGTTCGTAATCCGGTCAGTATTATTCCATCTGTTCAATTTAAATTAAATGCTGTGATATCTTTGTATTTAGTTCTAAGGATTCTAAATTAACTGCTCGCAACACTATACAAATAGTTTGGAAGGATGGTAAATTTTTATCACTTACTGAGCTCTGTGAGATCCAGTTTTTCAAAAGATATTCTGCGTCACTGCGTCGGACCATCCAGCCATAGTAGGGGTAACTCTGAAAAATATGCCATCTGGTAATTATAAGAATAACTCTGAAAAATCCACTATCTCGCCATTGTAATGGTAACTCTGATAAATATACAATATCTTCTTCTCTTTTTGGTAGGGATAACTCTTATAAGTATAAAATCTCGTAATAGAAAGAGTCATTCTGAAAGAAAATCATCTCTCGCCGTTGTTAAGTTAACGCCGAAAAATAAATCCCGTCATGGGACGAGGTAAAACAAATGCAAGATTACACAGAGATATAATTGATAAATTGATGTGGATATATCTAGACCATCTTCCTCAAAACTACGTTTTGTTAGAAAAATGCCCCCAAAATATTCACTTTATTTCCATGGCCGTGTGTTTAAGGGGCAAACCCGCAATAATGTACAACGGGCGCGGAATTTGTGTGCGAAGCTGCTATTTAACCCGCAGAAATCAACAAATGATCCCTTGTGTTTTACAAAGGTCCTTTTCATGGTAAATTGTTTTGGTAGTTATTTTAGCATTTCAATGAATAGCCGCGCCTGGATTATTGCTTTACTCTCGCTAAAAATTTGACCATTGAATGATTTGGTGAATTAATTGTTGATTTTTTCGGTCGTGGGAGATTTTCCAACTATGCCTTGAATAAAATGTTCGCTGGGTGTTATTTTGAATTCTCTTAGAATTTAGCCGCCATCGGTGACATATTTACTCGTATGAGAAATAGGTTTCCCCAACGCTTGACGCTATATGGTCTGTGCATCAAAGCATGGTCTCGTTGGCATGGTCTGCAGCACAAGCATCGCATGTCGCAGCAAAGTTGCACTGCACACTCCGACTCATTAGTTCCTGCAGTATTTTGAATTATGTCCTTGATATATGCCGCGGCTGAAGGCTTCGAAGCCGCTATAGTGTCCGTTTAAAGGGGATACGTTGGAGTAGCAGCAGCAGCAAAATCTGCAGCAACAGCGCCATTCTCTTTGTAGCTTGCAGTCGCGTCTCGCGTGCTTCCGTATATGATACAGTTTAATCCTTTTAAGTCGGTCATGGGTAATCCACTTTTCTATCCATGATTAATTATCTTGAACATGAAATGAAGAATGGTACTAAAGGATATGATCAAATGAAGATCTGCTAGTACCGAGCGATAAATTAAAATATTGTGATGTAATTTCTTTGTTATCAGTCAAGTTTTCAATGGTTTTAAGACTGACTCGCTGTAGGTTCATGCTTGGGTTTCCTTTATTGCACTCAAAAATATTATCAAATAAACAGGACGATCATAAACAGCCGATTATCGGCCTGCTAATGCCTTTGATATCACGCACGATTATGAGCGTGGAAATTTAAACTGCTAAGGATGTTGAAAGTATAATGAGTTTCATTTTGCGAGGCTGCCCATTGCGCTGCTGCTTTGTTTGGATATTTGCTCAAAGCAAGCAACTAATGCAGTGCTTCGCCTAATCTAGGAAAATCTGCTGTTTTGAGTAACTGCTATAGCATCAACAGTTTGTTCGTTTTTTGGGCATGTAGTAAAATAGGATTTCCTTATGTTACGATTAGTCGTTGCTGTAAGTAGATAGCATAATAGGCCTACCGTCACACTTTTCATAAACAGCTTAAATCATAGGTTACCACAATCATTTACCCCGAATCTTGCCCAACAAAATTAACTAATTACCCCTGATCCTTCAATATTATTACGAACAATTACCCTCAAATCTTGCCCAACAAAATTAACCGATTACTCCCGAATCATGAGTTAACGATCATTTACCCCGATTGTGTCATTCGAGTCATTTACCAGGCTGGAGTCATTTGAGTCAAACCAGCTTGAAACCTTGAGTCAGTTTTTTTTCATGGTGCACATCGGCTGGTAGCTAAAGGCGCACTTAAATTATCCTCGACAAAAACTCGCTCCAGATCCAGGACCGGTCTGGCAGAGGCAGGATGCATCGCGCGCTAATATCGAGAGTGTTCTAAAAAATACTGTATTTACCCTCGACCGCTAGCTGATCTGTTATACATTAAGCACTGAACTCCCGTCGAGTGAGGATATTTCAGAAGGCAATCCCTACTTATTGATCTCGTACGGAAGAATCTACAGAGCAAATAAGAACCTCAGTTTAACATAGTTACTCTACTTAATTCAGAAGGTCACTTCATTTTCTTTTGATACAGCTCATTGAAAAACTGGATTTGAGTTTCAAGAACTGTGTAATGAAACGTACAAAGTACCTTATAGTTTTGTGTTGGTTAATAATGATGAGCACCCCGGTTCTGGAAAATATTTCAAAAATTTAAATCAATTATATATTCCACAGAAGTATTTTTCAGGTAACCGCTCTAGGTTATTCTCGGTTAAAGAGTGTAGTAAAATCAGGGTAAATGACCGTTAACTCATGATTCGGGAGTAATTGGTTAATTTTGTTGGGTAAATGATCGGTACCCTGTTAAGCTGTTTATGCAGATTCGGGGTAATTGTTCGTAATAATATTGAAGGTAATTGGCTAATTTTGTTGGGTAAGATTTGGGGTAAATGATTGGTAAACTATAATTTAAGCTGTTTATGGAAAATGGCGCCATGCGCTCGGTCATGTAACTACTGCTGTAGTTTAATATGAATAGAAGAAAGTCAAAGTTGAAGGCGAACATTACGCGGATGACATTATATACTTCTTTTCGTGTCGTTTCTCTCGTGTCAGACGAAATATTAAATTGTAACTAGGTGATAAGCGAGAGGTGAAAATGAGGGAGGGGTATATTCATCACACGGGATTAAATATGTTTTATTTCAGGTGCGTAACTAAAATTATAGTAATTATTATTTGCCGTACCGTAAAATGGGGTTACTTTGACTGGCGGGGTAACTTTGACCACTTTTCGTTTTTTTAACAAAAACCCCCCAAACTCAAAAACGATTTGACATAGAAAAATTTTGTCAATGGCCATCAAAGGCCTAATACTGAGGCTACGTAACACAATAGAAAGATTTAAAAAGTTTGCATATCTAATAGGTTAAAAAATTAAAAATTTTACCCACAAAAAAAAACCATTATTTAAAGCCTGTCGGAGTACCCCCCTCCAATTTTTTATTTTTTGGTAAAGTAGCTCCAGGTTTTGATGCATTGTAGTAGAACTCTTCTAGTTACATATGCAAAAGACAAATTTTAGGAAAGTGTCATAGTTTGCAAATGGATGGCGCCGCCCCCCAATGGGGTAACTTTGACCGCCTAATGGCAGTCGTGATGGGGTAACATTGACCGGCTTGGAAATTAAGTTAAAATTACCATAGGTACCTATATAACATATTTTATGTTTGATACACCTATTAATGTTTTTTTCTTTATGTTTCAGACTCTGCAGAGTCTTATATAGGGTAATTTTAACTTAATTTCCAAACCGGTCAATGTTACCCCGTCATGGCTGCCATTAGGTGGTCACATTTTGCCCATTGGGGGCGGCGCCCCCCATTTGCAAACTATGACACTTTCCTAAAATTTGTCCTAAAAATTGATTTTATAAAAAAAAATATTTTATATATTTTTTAAATATTTTAAAAAGAAACCCCAAGAGCTGGGGTAACAAAGACCATCTCTTTTTTTTTAAATTACATCAAAACTATAAGAGGCAGGAGTCAGTAATTTATGGTGAGTAAAGCTAGAGTATAGACCTGTATTTTGCATGTTTCAATTCAAGTTTAAGTTATCTAGTGAAAAAATGGCATAATTTTTGAAAAAAAGGGGGTCAAAGTTACCCCATTTTACGGTATGCACGATTTGCTCTGATGTTGCTGTACGCGACACCTGAGCAGAGAGGCTGGGTCCACTGATGTGTGAGGCATAGCGCGGTAGCGGTAGGTGTTCGCGAACATCACTGACGAACCTGAGCCCTGAGCAGAGCGGCTGGGTTGAGTGATGTGTGAGGCATCGCGCGCTAGCGGTAGGTGTTTGCGAACATCACTGACGAACCGGAGCCCTGAGCAGAGCGGCTGGGTCGAGTGATGTGTAAGGCGTCGCGTGGTAGCGGTAGGTGTTCGCGAACATCTCTGACGAACCTGAGCCCTGAGCAGAGCGGCAGGGTCGAGTGATGTGTGAGGCATCGCGTACGAACATCTCTGACGAACCTGAGCCCTGAGCAGAGCGGCTGGGTCGAGTGATGTGTGAGGCATCGCGTGGTAGCGGTAGGCGTTCACGAACATCACCGACGAGTCAATGTCCATCAACATCGCGCACTGCCGGAAGTAACTGCAAAATCATAACGGCAACCGTGAGACAAGGACGCGAAAAGTTTATTTCGACCCTGGACATTCCGGCCCTCGTCAACACATTAGTATAGTGCTTCATTAAATGAGGTTAATTAAAATGAAGTATTTACCAATGAACGATGTGATAATAAGAAGATTTAATATAATTTTTAAAAGCATAACTGCTGTAATACCGTTTGATTATCTCAATTATTTTCCGTCACTGCTATTCGAATGAAATCAACTATTTTCAGTCTGTGAATTTATTGATAAGCGCACGATTATAATCATTCATTGCAGGACTGTACGCGCATGAAATTGCTTACTATCGTGAGTTGCGAATGCTGAATGAAGCGAAAATGAAAACGGTTGCGGGTGCAGTTAAACACGAAAAGGCTCTAAATATTTCGCTTGTGCCAACGTTTTAGAACAAATTATTAGCGGCGAACTTGAAAATTTCAAAAAAAGAAATGGTTCACCATTCAATGTATTTTTCGGTTATTATTTTATTCTTCCTAATTGCACACACTTCGCCGCTTGCATGGATTGGCTACCGATAACTATAAACGGAGTTTGGCAAAAAAATAGTTCGTTCGATTTTAAATGAATGACTACAATATCATCATTATACAGGGGTATTTTCAATTGGAATTGGAATAAATGCAGTGAAAATGCGCATGGGACAGGGATATTGTATTGAAAGGTTGGTTATTTGCTCATCAATTTGAGGAAATTCAAAATTCAAACTTTTACTTCGCTTCAATATTTATTATGAGCTATAAATTGGGCTAAATATTGTTGCAAATTTTATAGATAACAATATGATGCATCAACAAGAACATGAAACAGCTGTAATATTAAGCCTTGTTCTCTGAATCATTAAAGCATGACCATTGTTATTTGAGTTCTCAAATACTTTCGGTGTTCTAGGGTAGCCGCGTAAAATGTAGATCTTATCGCCCTCTAAAATACAAAATTTCACAGACTCATTTTGTTGCGTACCAGTAGCGCTATTTTGCTCCTTAATTGTCGCTAATTTGAAATTATCCTGCGTCGATCGGATATAATGAGGCTCAGTTGCGTTTTCATCGAAGTTTCATTCTGAACGCGGAGTCGCTGTGAAATTTTATGTCATTTTCTAACGAATAATCGTATTCACGTCTTGGTTTGGCACCGATTAAAGTTTATATCATCTTAATCGATTACAGCCATTACCATTAAAAATACCATTAAAAAAGATGGTATTTTTAATTTCTCGCTTACTTAATCCATTTATCTATTCATTTTCTCATGGCTTTATACATTCTAGTTTGATAATAGTTTGAATAATGTGCTACCAGTGTGCAGATATTTCAGGAAAATTTACCGTAACTTTTTTGTGAAATTGCTCTCCAGGCAGAAAAACTTGCACTCCTTAAAATTGCCTGCAGTTCTGTTCCTATTGGACTGCCTGCCACCTGCCTCATGAAGTCTGGCGCCAGCTGCAGGATTAATTTCCTGCCACCTGCCTCAGGAAGTCTGGCGCCAGCTGCAGGATAAACTGCCTGCAACCTGCCTCAGGATGTCTGGTGCCAGCTGCAGGATTAATTTCCTGCCACCTGCCTCAGGAAGTCTGGCGCCAGCTGCAGGATAAACTGCCTGCCACCTGTCTCAGGAAGTCTGGCGCCAGCTGGAGGATTAATTGCCTGCCACCTGCCTCAGGAAGTCTGGCGCCAGCTGGAGGTCGTCCTCGAGCACGATAAGTTTCTGTGCCGCAGGGAAGCGCTCGAGTGCCGTCGTGATGCACATTTTCACATGTGCGTTGATGCGATCCCGCACTGCATCAAATGCATTAATTATAATGAAGTCCGTTCTTATGTCATTTAATCAAATATTACAAGAGTCATGAATTTTTTGATGTCATAAAAGTGCATTTAATACGATTATTTCATTAGTTTCATTAAGTTTTAATCTTTTGGCATTACACACATTTTTTAAAGCTGTTATTGGAGTGAGCGCAGTGCAGCTGTATGCTGATAACAGCTGCAAGTCGTCGCACCTGCTCACTGCAGCTGTCAATGCACCAGAGCAGCTGCGTGTTACTGCCGTACCTGTTCCTCCTTATGGTCGTCACTTGGTCGGCCATCCTCGGCATCCTCGCCCCCGAGCCGATCATTAGCACTGGGATGTTGTCGCCCTGCAGGTCCTGCGACTGTAGGAAGATCTTTGTAGTATAGCTGAATAGCGCTTAAATTTATTATAACAGATAATATGGTCACTAGTACGGAATGATACTGAACTTTATGAATTAAACGTTATTAATTCATGAATTATAAATGAACCAATAGTGTGATTTGAATGAACCAAACCCTGCGACTGTAGGAAGATCTTTGTAGTGGATGGAGCGTGCATAAATTTATTGTTACTAATAATAAGGTCACTAGTACGGAATAATATTGAATTTTTAATGAATTAAACGTTATTAATTCATGAACTATAAACGAACCAATAGTGTGATTTGAATGAACCAAACCCTGACTGTAGGAAGATCTTTCTAGTAGATGAAGCGTGCATAAATTTATTGTAACAAATAATATGGTCATTAGTACGGAATAATATTGAATTTTTTGAATTAAAAGTTATTAGTTCATGAACTATAAATGAACCAATAGTGTGATCGGCATTAGAAAGCCAGTGGACGATTCGTCTTCAATTTTATGGCATTCGTGCATTCTTAAATGTTGAATCAAGATCTTAAACTAACGCAAATGGTTTCTAATAAGGGCTTAAAAACGATGAAATACTGGTATTTGAAACGAGGGTTGCATCTGAAATGTATGAGGCTTTGACCATTGGCTTCATGTTTCGGATGGTCAAATTTTGGCAAAAAATGTTTTTCGAGCATGAAATATGAATTATTTTTCAAGACGTTCAACTTATCAGATTATCTTCGCGGTCGTCCCGTGATGCTGATCTTTTTGGTAATTCGGGTGTCATGACGATCACAGATCCCATGAACATGGTCGAATTTTGAGATATGGATCTGTGTTAAAATTTCGCTTTATTATTAGATCTCGCCTTTCGGGCATGAACTATGAAGGATCTTAGATCCAATAGGCACGGATAAACTTTCTTACGCTGTCGTCCCATGACAGTGGGCTTGCAGGTGCAGTTCGCTCGTCGCAAAATTCTCCGTAGCCTTCGTAGTCCGCGCAAAAATTGCAGCGTAGGGCCTTCGCTGGCTCGTTGTGACGTGAACAGCTGTGATCTGTTGGATAATTGGTTGTCAAATTAAGCAAGAATAATTCTTTATTTGACTGTCGATGTTAGGAAGAATAGTTATCATTTAAATCCGAAAAATTTCCAATATATTTTTCGTAGTGGATATAAAAATAGCTGCGATAAATCGCAATTTGCGCCTGCTGTTGATAAATTACTATCTCAAGTTTCACATATAGATATTCGCTTATTTTTCTGCATTTATGCGTTCTTAATTACTTGAAGTGAAATTATTAATTGTCAGCTGGAAATAATAATTGGAAATGTCACTCCTGAAACAAAAAATTTCCTAACATACATGATGGTAGGCAATCTGTTGCTTAAAAGACGTCAGAAAATTCATGAAATAAATCATCTCTTTATGTATCGAATAATACTCATTGATTGTTCGTAAGCCATATTGCTGCTCGCAATATTATATTTTTTTTGGACCCTTGGAAAATTTAATTTGTATCACTTAATTGTGTAATTTGTATCATTTAATTTGTACAAATTAAATGAAAGGTTAATTTGTATGACTTATAAAACCTGTGTTCCGAGACCACGACTTAATAATACTTCGATCAATTTCATCACGCGCTAAAAAGAAGGAATATCGTTAACCTGGAAATCCAGAGCGCAGTACCAGGGAGAAGTGATGAGGTGAAGTGCGGTGCTTCGTGCTCTTGTACGTTCTTGTGATGCTACAGCCTTCGTACAGTGGACTTTCTGACCAAGATCGAAACAAAGTTTATTACATTTACAATAAAAAATTCTAATACTTAACTTGAATGGCAGAAATCGGAAGATGTTCAAGATATTTTTACGCAAAGCTACAAAAGCAATGTTAGTTGGATCTTTAATGTGTACGGTATTCATTCAACAACAATTTTTCCCCAAACTCTGAGACCAGCGCTTGCAGTTCATCATTTCATTACCATCAAGCCTAGACAATTTCAGTTTTATTTCAGGCATTTGTCGTGTCTCCGAGCGAACTCGTTTTACGCAGGCAAAGTTTTTTAGACTCTGAGATTGAGGCTCATACTTGCGTTGGGTTTTATTGCAGAGTGATACGAGGGGCTCAAACCCTCGTGGGTTGTCAGACTGGCAGGAAATGTCCTCTTTTGAGCCACCACAGCCCATGGCTCGGTGTTGGTCAGAGGATAATCACAAGCGCAGCCGAGCAAAGACCGCATACTTTTTAGAGCATCTTCCCTGAGCCATGTGGTCGAGTCTGGCTGAAATTAAATGAAAATTTTGGAGCAATGCGCACGCAGTCAAAAATACTCTTCACGTGCTAAGTTTTACCATTCAATGAATACGAGTGTATATAGGAACTGTATGAAAATTATCTGTTCATAAAAAATCACTCAGCGAGTTTTGTTTATTATAATTTATTGAGTCATTTAAATTCTTTTGCCTATTATTAATAATTAATAATTAATTAATTTCTTTTCCAATGATGAATTTCACGCAATAATGTATAAAATTTAAAATGTAACGAAAAAATGTCTGTTCTGAAAACTATAACAAAAATGATCAAACTGAAGAATTTCACTCTGATCTAGCAACAGCAAGTGAAGCTAGTCAAATTTATTTATCAAAACAGGAAATATATCCTCATTTTTAAATATCAGACCAACGATCCGCGCTCACATGACAAGATATAAGTCACTCTTTCAACATCTCTGTAGCTTAGATTGTTCCTGCACGAAAGCGCCTGGCGTGTGGTTATTTCATGGAGATATTTCGACATTTGTAAACCAAAGAACGACAGATTTTCTGTTATTATATCATTGAACAAATATTGTTCATGATACTAAAGACGTAGTGTGAAAACTACATGTATCTGTCCTTCTCAGATGATAATTATGCATTCATTCACTTCGATGTGAAAGATTAATTTAAATCAGCCAAGGACCATTTTTAAGCACTGTTTGTATTTCGTCAAAGCGCCTATTTTTTTACAATAAATTAGCGTAAAGTCACCGAATTAAATTAGGAAATTGCTGAAATTCCGCAGTGTGAGTTTTACTTCATTATCAGATCCGTTCTTTTTGTTTTTTTTAAGTTTGATCACGATTATTGCCTGATTTTTCTTACTATAGAATATCGTTTCGGATGATTTAAAGCATTAAGTAATAGTATGAAAAATAATTGATGTATAATAGACGCCGAATTTACAAAATATTGCATTATATCAGCCAATTTTTAGGCATTATAGTATGAAAAATAATTGATGTATAATAGATGCCGAATTGAAAAAATATTATTTTATATCGGTCATGAAAAGTTTGAACACTCACGACGCCCAGCAACACGACTAGTCTGCCGGGTTGCAGTGAGCCCAGGTACTGGACGAGACTAGCGTCGGCGCCTGGGCTGCTGGTCGGGAAAAAAGCCTCGCCCAGTAACTTCCTGGGCTTTACCTGGTCCAGCACTGCCACCTGGATGCCGCTTCCTGGGCTTGCTTTTTCAGATTTTTCCAATCGTCCAGCTTGGCTGGACGATTGGGCTCCAAAAGCCACCTGTTATGAAAAGTAATTAAAATGAAAAATCATAATTTACTCGTATTTCTCTTAATTTTTCTCTAGTGGTTTTGCGCGCAAAAATGGAAGATGCAGTGATAAGAGCATAATTATTCTGGACCTCTTATAGATGAACCTTCTCTCGTGTTATTCTAATTTCCGACCTCTATAATATTGTAAAGTAAGGCAGAGATATGATGTGTTTGGTGTAGAAGTGCCTTCCGCATAACAGACTAGTTAAAGTTTAGCAGCTACTTATACGTAGCTCAAATGTCGGTTTTGAAAACAAGATTTTACCAAACAGCCAGGTTTTGATTTTGATTTTGAAGATTTTCAAAATCAGGTTTTGATTTTGAAGATTTTACCAAACAGCCAGGTTTTGAAAACAAGATTTTACCAAACAGTCAGGTTTTAGATCTCAGAGACACAAGTCAAAGACACTAAATGAATGGTCGACAGGCCAAACTTGGCCTGTTCCTCATCGCCGCCACTACTTTAATATTATAATACATGTGCACAACAGAAGCACTGCCATCATTAATGAGTTTCCAGCCATGCACAGCTCGCGTACAGTCGTTTGTTGCGGTAAATTGGGGTAAATATATTTGACCAACTTTAATATAATATAACTGCAACTGCACATAAAATTTAAAATATAATATATAGAATAAATATACTAAATGAAATAAATTGCCCATAAAATAGAAGATTTTAAGAAACTACTGCGAAAAATTATAAAATAATGTTATATCTCGCTTGAAGTATTTTTTGTTTTCGATTTTTTTATGGATAGATGAACGAGCGTTTTTCTGCCCCATCGCCAGTCAACTATCTTCAAGTAAATCAATTATAAATCTTTAATTGCCCTAAATAAATTTTGGATTTACACCAAGCTTAGTTCAACTACTAGCATCTTGCTTCTTCTTGATATTCGATCCTCTCGATATTTGTCAAGTTATATTCCTTAATATGTTTGATATAATTTTATTCTCACCTCAACTCCATCCATCCAGAGTCTAGCTCCGTGGGCATCGACGCTACCGCTCAACAGGTAAAATATATTATCCTGTACTCGGTCAGATTTAGATGTGTTGTTGGATACCTTTATTTCGTGTGAAGCAACAAAGGCCTCTGCATTGTGTATTCCCAGTAAAGCAAATATTCGGAAGACCGCATGACTCAGTAAGATTCCTGCCAGCTTCATACCATTTATCTTCCGCATTTTGGTGGAATTAGCCTCAAAGTTTTTGAGTAGGTTTCGGAATTCTGGTATGATTTGCATCTAATAATATGATGACGATGCTTTTAATATAGAGGACATTCATTTATGTGGTGAAATCCGTACACATTACACATCATTCCTGCTATGCTGTTCTTACTCATTGCTGTTGGTATCAGTAAAAAATAGATTCGCTGTTATTTTTTGGGAAATTATTGCTTATTTCACACTACGGTCTTTAATAATTAAAAATTCTGGAAAAAATTCAGTTAAAAAAAATAATACATTACACAAGCACAGAAAAAAGTGGTTTAAAAAAGTAGCGATATCGAGAAAATTTAATTCAGTTTCAAGAAAAATTATTTACATTCCCAACCGTCGCAGTGGAACAATCCTCTCTGCTTGGCTCTGCCACGACACGCATTCTGTTGACGTCCCTGCAGCTCAAATTTGATTTCCTGTCTCCCACTGTCCGAAGTTCGCAGCTGTGACGTTCCATGCTAACTTTATTTTCAAATGTTTCAATATTTGGTCTTGGAAGAATATCTTTCCCTCCTACTTATTTTTTAGTCCACAATGTTCCATAATTAGTTGTTACATTATTAGGGTGGAGATCTCACTAAACTAATAAATTGCGAATGTAATCACAGAATTGTATTCATAGACGTATGAAGCAACAGGTAATTGGTGAAATTATATTTTATTGCCATTCACTTTAGTAACGCAAATTTATACCAATGCGTATTGGATAATATGATTATACTATCAATACTCTTCAGCTTGTTTATACCTAATTTATATGGCCTATATAGGCTTATAGCTTCTATTCAGCGAGCTAGTTATCTCCCTCTAGTTACTAAGCAGCGCCCGGTCAATGTGCTATCAATGCCCATAATCAGAATATGATGACATTATTTGTCCTTTTTAAGATAGATTTTATTCAAGTTATAGATTGAAGAATAGAGAATGCATTTGGTTCATAATTTTTTGTTCGTTTTTCAACGAGACAAACAAAATTTTTTTCTGACTTTGCTGAATTATAAAGCATGTTTTCGAAAAAATTCTCAATACATTAGTGTCTTTTTGAATGTAATATCATGCACTGCATACTTTAAAAAGATGCCGGTCAAATTATTAGACTTTGACCAACATAACTACGTACACCAAATAATAATTATAATATGGTTTACATATACGTAATACAAACGCGTAAACAATAATTAAATTACTCCCAAAAATTTTGAGATACAATTTTTACTCTTCTTCTCTACGTGACTAACTTGCAATTCGTGCACTCGTTGCATCTATTGTAACTACACTCATCTTAATCTAAATAAATGTCTGGCACAACGATGCAATAAACTTCACTACCAAAACAACACTGAGAGACTCGCAGGAAAACTGCGTTCTATTGTTCAGGAAAACTGAAAAGGAAATTGAGGTACGTTGTAGGAGATCTGCCCCAGGTTCTCAGTTGTATATCTCTTATGGATAATAAAGCGTTAGTTGATCCTTATAGTGCATACAGTATATTTAACAGATTTTGGTCACGATCCAGACTCTTGAAAAGAAATAACAAACCTATGATGAATAAATGATGATATTAATAGGATCGCTATAATATATACATACTAATTCATACTGAACAATATATACTAAACCTTGCTAAAATATATGTACACTGAATAAAATGACAAAACACACAGAATATGAACAAATATGAAAAGACACAAAACAAACGTACACACCTTGCCAGTGTGGGTTCTGGGACACGAATGAACATCAGTAAAACATATTCTCCGGATCTAGGCTACGTATATCTCGAGATTAAATCATAAATAATAGAAATGCGTAAATACATCAACAAAATCAGTAAAAAAATTAACAAACGAATGCTAACAAATACAACGTCATATTCTCTTACTTTTTTCATTGTTACCAGCTACAGAATAGACAGCGTTCATAAATAACAGCTACTACTTCATAAATATTCTCATGATTCTCGTAAAATCTCACTGCTCCACTGAATTCATTACTCAACCTCGATTGTAGTAGCATTTGGAGATAGCTTTTGGAATTTCAAAAGATTTTTACTCATTAATAAAAATTTGAAAACGGCTAAACGCGCCACATCTGCAACGTGGCGTGAAGACAAGAAGACGATTCAATTTTTTATAATTAAGGAAAACGATTTTCACTCACTCAGTTCTTGTCGATTCCAGAAAAAATTTGGTTCTCCAGAAAAAATTCTGGAGAACATAATTTTTTCGAGTTTCTTTACTTCGTTCACATCCGAAAATTATACAAATATGTAATATATACAATTTTTTCAATATTTCACACACCCATTGGTTAATCAAACTTGTTTGTTATC